AGTTTTGTATTTTACTGTGACCCTGCAAATGTATTTTGATGCTATTTAAAAAGTGTTTCTAAGTGATGCATTAAATTTCATTTAAATCTCGTGATACACAGCTGCAGTTTGTGGGACATATTTATAACCCATCTGTAGTCGCCCCTCTCTGGAGAATGCTGTAATTCAGTGCAACTCAAATGCTTTTACTAAAATGAGGAAAAACAAACAGGGATAATCCAGAACTCCTGTGCATGGAGGGTGTTTGGAGTCTTGATTTGAAACTGTTATCTCTTTTAATTATACATGACATAATTATACAAGCGTTGTTATATAATGCTCTTAGAGATTTCAGATCCATCTGTTCTGAGACACAGACAAGGAACAAACACAAAAAAGCAGTTTATCCACCGATAAAAACACAAGAAAAGACAAAGAATAAATCCATCAGAAAAAGACCACCACAGCTGACTGAGTGTAAAACTTAGAATGGCTCATTGGAGAGCCTCCCACATGGTTTTCACTGAAGCCTCAACACAAGTGGGCATTAAGTGGACTTAACACATTTTCCCTCAGGTGTGACCAGCGGGTAAGCAGCTACTCTGTGGGTCTGAGGACATTATTCCGACCTGACAGTTAAAATCATTGGACTGTTCAGAGGACGAGAGGGTTCACTCCGTCCTCCCTACTACATGCCACACTAAGCAATGAGTGGCTGTAGATCTAAACTCTCTTAACTCTCTGGTCTTACTTTATTGAGCCTCTTCATTGTGAGTACATTAGTTCACTAGAATCTGAGTATGACACTAAGGCTTGACTTGACTGTATACATGACATTTAGATTAAAAACAAGCTAATTTGGTTTTTAAAAAGTGAATATTTCAAAAACATCTATGAAACTTTTGTTTCAAATGATCCTGGTTATGTTTAAATAACTCTTCTTATTGTACCAAGACTAAGATCTAAAAATTTAGTCCAGTTTTAACTTAGACATCTTGTTTTTATACTACATTTTTTAGTGTTTAATCAACTTTAAACATTAATATAATTATATATAATAATACAGATTGTTATAGATTAGCATTTTAATGTTCTAGCAGGGTAAGGTGGAATAAATTCTGGTTTTTGTATTGCTGTGTAACAATGCATCACAAATGTGTACATACATACAACATATCAACTTTTGTAAATTCTTAATAGGCAAAGCTGAGTTTCACAAAAAGACAATGTTGATTCTTGGGGTTATAGGTAAAATGCTGTGTGTTTATTATTGTTAAATGACTGAGATGGCTGCTAATGTTGGCGACAGGGAGGCAATAAGCCGATAGTATCAGTTTGTAGAGTCTTAATAGGGATTAACAATGTGTCAAGTAAAACTGACAGATAACGAGCGTCAACGCTGCAAAGTTTAAATTCCACCTTCCTTCTCAGTTGGACGTTGAAAAGAAAAGTGAGGGCAGGTGGTGAAGTCGGGGTGGCAGCCTGCTGTCAGCAGAGTATAGCGCCTATGTGAGACAGCTCTAATGAGATGAGTATTTTCACAGCAGCAGTGCCAATGCACACAACATTTTATGGGCTTGGTTCCACAGGGTGCATTAAGAGGCCCTGTGTTTTTGGTTTGAATAATGCCTCGCCTCAGTTTCCCACTACCTCCCCACGGACTGCAACAGCTCCTGTTGAGCACAGTGAACAACATAAAGATCTGTGCAGCATGTGACCATCAAAATGTCACTGTGCCTGTTCCTCTGCAGGAATAATGTGCCTGTGGCCCTTTTTATTAGCAGCTGTGCTCCCTGTTATGTACTGTACAGCATTTCTCCCTTTCCTACAGACCTGAGGCTGTTTGCAGGCAGGAAATGTGAAATTTACAAAAAGGGGACTCAACAATAAACAACAAAGACAATCACCGTAGCAACAGCCATTAATAAATTAGAATCAAGCAGCAAGCACAGTCCTTCTTTGGTCTGTTCTGTCACTGGTTTTGCTCCAAAAAAAGTAGTGACAATGTACATTTCTATTCATTTGAAACCTCCTTAAGCTACTGAAATGGGGATGAGGGTTACTGAAATGTTTCCTGCCAGCACGCTGTCACATCTGTTCCTTGTCATGATCAGCCCTCCTTCACTTCTCATCCAGCAGGCTGTGCAGTGCAGTTAGAAGTGTTGAGGAAAAACACAAATCGCTGTCAAATCAGCTTCAGCCCCTTAACTCAGTCATTCTGTGCCAAATAATTTAGCTCTGAAGATTTACCACCAGCGACTTGATATGAACTGCACTTGCATTAATGCCTCCCACAGATGCACAAATTACAGGACTTATCTCAGTTACACTTTATATGGATGATCTGCCTACAGAGAATTAACGGAGTATTTGTTACATTTCGTTAATCTTGTTTAACAGTTGAACGCTCCACTGATGTTCAACAATGTAAAATATTCAACCAACAATTAGTAACCACATAATAAGTAGGGTTAGGGTTAGGATTAGCATAACAGTTTAATTGTTGTATTTTAACTAATAACCTTTTGAAATAATACAAATACTCTAAGCTCTCTGCAGGCGAACTGTTCGAACAGTGTTACCCTCGTCTGTCTGAAGGGAAAGGCCATCACCTTCCTTGGTAGTTCACACAAGAAACACTCATTAAAGCAATATATTTAGCATGGCTGTAACATTTTTTGACTAATTCAAATTTAAAGACATTAAAAGCTTATTAGGTGCACTTGTCTTTTTCCTTCAGGAAGTTAATTGGTCCCAGATGAGCACTGCAGTTGCTTCATCCCTCCGTGTCTTTATAGTCTTGACATTGGCCAGGTCTCACCGGACAGGAAGAGAATCCATACATTGATAAACACAACCTGAGCGCTTTATCATCTAACAGCTGGTATAATCCTCCTGTAAGATCATTCAGATTACTGCCAACATGGACAAAATGAGCCCATGGTTCATTTAATGTCCTGGAGAATGTAAATAAGTGAAGACCAACCCAACAGCATTTTTCCCAATATATAACTTTATTTAAAATATTGTTACAATTTATTACTTTACACATTTTCAAACCTTTTTGTCCTTTTTCTTATATTGATTAGTAAACCTTTGTGTGTGTGTATTTTTTAGATATAAAACTCTCCATTTTGTAGCCTAGTTCTGCATCAGGTGTTAATTGACGTCTTTCGACACTTATTAAATGCAACAGCGCTTCTCTTTTAAACAGCTCGTTTCATTGTGTGGTTAGCTAATCCTCCATACAGCCCTTCCCCACGCACAAAACTAATGATCGACGGTGGCTCATTGTACACTATCATTTCCCCAATCTTTATAATTTCTGCTTAAATAAATAAATGTTTTGAGTTGGAGAAACAAGAGTGCATTTTGTCCAAAGGATACTATCTTTTTAAAACAGCTATTTACAGCTTATGCTGAAGACAAACAAGGCTTAGATTTTTAATTAATGTTGCTGCCTACTTGTCATGGGAAAGCCCTGTGTTTCAAAGCAATGAACAAAAATTAATCACACAAAGGTTAACACTTTATAAACAGCACTTACATCCACCCTTCAGTTAGTCATAGGTAGGACATGTCAGCTGAAATGGAAAAGCCAGCAGCTAATGCCCTCCAAGCCAGATGTGCATTCCGGAGGTCGATGAACTTCAAGTCTACACAAAAGCGCTGATGATGGGACTAACATCCCGGCTCCAACTGAACCATCGGTGTCAAAGGAAAACGACTGACTGGGCGTCCTCATAGACGCCACTTCAAACACTCGAGTCAGAGCCCTGTGAATTGCTGTCGAATTTGAACTAACAGAAAAGATCTTATACGATATCAGCCACTGAATGATGCTATGGAAATCAGTGCTGATTTGGCACACGAGACTCAGGGAACTGATGTGTTACCATAGCAACTGCATCATTTACATGAGCATTTCAGTGGCGGTTTTGATGAACACAAACTTTCTGAGTTTCATGTGAAGTCCACACATTATTTATTTAATCTTTTTAGTCTACTGCCACCGTGTTTGTTGTACCATCCAATATTCTATTTATCTGTAAAAATCCTGTGTAAAATTCAATCCTTTTTGTAAATAATCATTCACTTACAAGCCCAGGCTGTCCAGCATCTCAAATACAAACACAGGTGGCCCACAGCACAGTGCACACCGACGAACAAAAACTATCAAACACAGGCCAACCGTACAAAGACGTGCTTCTTAACATTCCTGTCATCTCCCTGCTTTCACCTAAACACTGTTACTATGACATTTATCTCACTGATGACCGAAACGGACGACAACTGACAGTATGCACACCTGCTAGTGACTGACGGACAGATGGCACCTAGTGCAGACGAGACAAACCGAAACACAAAAATATAAAAAACAGAAGCTTTCTAAAAGCTTATTCACAGCAGCACAAGCCACGGGGACATAGAACAAACATCAAACAGTAAAAAACACTGCTTTGAATACATTATTGGGAGGAGTGAGACAGTTGGCTGACAGGAATAAAAGGAACAGAGGCTGCACTGAGCGTGCTGAGCCAACGTGGTGCTGCCACGGCAACCACATCCCCCTGTGATGATGGGGGACCAACCTGGAGAGAGTAAGAGCAGAGGACAGACAGGCCAACACACACAATCACACAACCTCTATCTGCCTCTCCCTCTACAGCTTATGAAGAAAAAAAAAAATATCATGGTCGAACAGCTTTAATTCTTTTGTCATCCATCTCTAAATTGGCTATTACTTTAGCTGTCAAAATGACCATCCAGCAGTCTGCACATTGCAGTTTCTCTCTCATTCCAGCTGTCTCTGGTGTGTGCATAAAACACACAACATGCTACTACAGTGTGGTATGTATTGCTATAGGCTGTTGTATAACTGAAGCCAGTCCTCAGAGGAAACAACAGGAATAACAAAATAGCTTGTGTTGTTGCACGTAACAATTTTGTCAAATCACTAACACAGAGTAGCACGGAGACAGGGATATATGTGTGTGTGTGTGTGTGTGTGTGTGTGTGTGTGTGTGTGTGTGTGTGTTATGCTGAAAAAGCATGTGAGTGGTTGTGAATATTAGCTAGACAATAGGAGACGCCTCCCATTTGTCTCCATCTGTCTGGTGTCTCCGCTGTCGTACGGATACAAAATCCCATCTTCATTTGCCGGCTCTCACACAGACAGCTCATCAGACACGTCCAATCAGAGCCTAAAAGCTTATCAGCAATGTCAATGATAAACATAGAGGACACACACAAACCCAGCACACATGCACACACTGCTCCAAGGCAACTGACCGAAAACAAATTATGACTAAACCTAGTCATGAAATACACATTTTGTTGAACCAAAATCTAAGATCAACTGTTAAAAAAAAAAAAAAAAAAACCCAAAAAACTTGAACCTGCTCTACAAGTCAGAGTTAGTAAGAAAGAAACGTCGCTCTCGGTTTCAGGTTTTTGGTTGCTGCCAGACAGCGAGTGAAGGACAAGAACAAGTCAGTAATGAATCGGCTGAGATAAACTTCTAGCCCTTACTGGGATAAACGAAACTCTATCTCTCACTCACACTTACGTGAAATCAGTTCATTAACGCGCACTGTCTCCATTCAGGCAAGAAAAACAAAAAACACAAGTAAACCTGTTATTGTTGTATGAAAAAAATTGAAATGCTGCTTCAAAACAAAACAAATCAAATCAGTGTAAATCATAAAACTTTCGTATAATCACGTTATGTGCATACACACAACTAATACTGTATCAATTTAGGTTCAGTAAGAGGCAGACGGCTGTCTGCATTGCTATGTATGCTGATGGCTGTGGTTGCAGTCACACAACTTCATGCACCATCTACTCTCTGTATAGCACACACACACACACACCATCTGTCCTCCTGACGTGGTTAATGGACAAACTGCAGAGGAAGGATACTTTTGGGTGAGTTACAGAGCCCGAGGGATCACTCTTTTAAGAGGCTCTGAGAAGATTTTTTTTCCTTCAAAATCTACAACTTCACGTGTCTTACACTCTGCTGCCCCCTGCTGTCTGTTCAGAAAACAGCAGCTTACCAGACCCTTAAAACTCTCCTGTCCTGTCCTAATAATATTCATAATCTGTTGATCAGATTCCTCGTGAAGAACATGTGACATTTCAAAGACATCAAAACTTTGGCCCATCAACCCTTTGTTCAACAGATTATTCCTGCACAGAGCTGAGAATGAGAAAGCCTCATCCTTTCAGCTCCCAAGCTCTGCAAAATCACCACAATAAAACACTTGCAAGGGGGATAAAGACCCATACTGACTTGAATGGTCGACTGCCAACAGACGTCGTTCTGAAGTAGAGTGGGTTAGAACAGAAGACATCGTGGTAAATGGAGATTAGTAAAAGCAGTCTGAATGCAATTAAGTTAGTGTTTCATTGTGTTAGATCAAGAAACCAATTATTATAGGACTTATATTAATCTATATTTTATCAGAAGTAAGATTGTTAAACATACACATAATTATGAACATGTCCCCTCACGTTCGTTTTCAGTAAGTTACATTTGCGTCACTTATGTTTTCTGACAAAGACAGAACACTTCTGACCTCAGATAGAAAACATCAATTCTGGGTTAATGTCCAGCATCAGTGTAAAGCATGATTTTGCTTTCTTTCTTTCTCACTAACTGAAAGAAGTGAAACCTGCCGTTTTTCTGCATCCCTCCCTTCTTATTTTCATCTCCTTCGTCATAGCTCAGTTCAGCAGACGAGGGCCACGCTGAGGGCTTCAGGCTGAGTCGATCGTGTTGGGAGGCCCGACCGTCAGGATCCCACCCCCTCGTAAAGTGGCATTTCGTCGAGGTGCTCCCTTTGCGCAAACCGTGTTGCAGCGCTGTGGTAACTCTGACCAATCACACACTGTAGATATGTATTACATCTCAACCAGTGGCGAGAATTTGCTTGTGTCCTGCCCACATCACAGGGCAGATGTATGGAGGAAAACAACAGACAAACTATGGAGATCTAGTAAATGACATGAAAGTTGGCTTTTGTTGATTTTCCTTCATTGCTCTTCTTGCTGTGTGTATCCCTGGGTTTGGTTAGGTGTGACAATTCCAATTTCCCAAATTGGTCACTTCCAGTTTGTTTTCGGGGCATGGATCGCCTCAGTCTGTCACTCAGTTCTGTGTTTGTTGATGGGCACTCTCAGGGGTGGCTGTGATGATGCAAGTGGACCAGTTCTAGTTCGAGTGATGACCAATGGTTTTAGGAAGTTGCAATCTCCCCCCCTAGGTGGCGCCATCCCTTCTGCTGTGTCTCAAGAGGAGGCAGAAACTCTGAAACAGAGGGACGGTTCAGGGGAACAAGTCTGAATGATCGGCTTTTTTCGAACGTCATGTGACTTATGAAAATGCTGCCACAGCACAACACAGATGTCAGTGTGTCTCAGTGTCACTGGGGCACACATGAATTTCTACTGTCCCTCTGTAGCATGCTGATGCCCTCGCCTTACATCTGGAGGTTTCTGATTCCCTCAACCTTCTTAGTGTCTCGGTTCCTCAGCTGTTCATTATCTGTCTCTGTTCCTGTAACTCCAAAAGTTTCTCACTCATGCTTATACATTGCACTTGTTTTCTGTCCAAATACTTGTTTTGCTCGTCTTGTTCTGTCTCACATGGGCAAATAGTTTCAACTTCCCTCAAATGGGGGGGGGGGGGGTCACATGTCTCTACATGCAACAATTCCGAATCCTTTTGTACTCTGTTCACAAATCCACATGTGCTCTCTTAGAAACCTGACACCACTTGAGGGGAATTTACTCTCCTAAATTGTGAAGTGCATTGTAAAGTTCCATTGAATTGTCTATAAAAATTTCTCTGCTGCAGTTTCCCCTTGACTTTGTGCAGTTCCTTATAAAGCAATACGATCCACAGCAGAATGCACCCTCCCCCCCTTAGGCCGGGTGTAATTTAATGCTTTGAGCTAAAGCTACTTATAAACTAGTAAAGCGTCTAGATATATTTTTGCCTTTAACACAGAAATAAAAGAGGTGGCATACAGTACTTGAGATCCTCTTCCTGCCCTTGCCCTTTTAGTTTTTGCCAGACAGGGAATTTTTGCATAATTCATAGTGCATGATGGGTGCTGTCTTTCAAAGCTCCACTCAGTACCACATCTGAATACATATTTCTTTATGATTTGCCCTCAATAAAATCTAGCCTCTTATTCTATTGCCTTATTATAGCCTCTATTGTTTTATCAACTGTGCTACAAAAAATATTGTCAGTTTGTATTTGGGACAAAAAATACTCCAGAAGAATGAATGAATGAATGAATGAATGAATGAATGAATGAATGAATGAATGAATGAATGAATAAATAACTTGTTGCTTACCATTGTTACTGCAGTTTTTGTTGTCTTTGTCAGATGCCTCTTCCTCAACCTATTAGCAAAGAAATCAACACACAGGAAATATAAAATTAATCATTTTAAATGAGAACCTGAAGAAAACTAGTGGCTTATTGTATTTCTATTTCTAAAAAAAAAAAAAAAAATGCAATGATAAGCTAAGTTTAGAATTTCAGACTTGGCATAGAGACATGTGCTTCCCAGAATGAAAGAGGAAAGGAGTGGTCCTTACCTGTTTCCTCCACTTCAGCTCACAAAAGACCCGCTCAAAGCACTCGTGCATGTAGTTAAACTGGGAGACAAAAGCAAAGAGAATTGTTATTCGGCCAACCAATACACCACAGTCAGCCTGAAGAGTCGCAGAGTCGAGTTATGCTTCATCTTTTTTAATAAGTTGTATTTACGTCTTCTTACCACTGCTTTGATTACACGTGAAAGAATCTGTGTTGACCATTGAATCATATACATGCTCCTATAAACTCCTTTTGAAAATTACAAAATCAGTCACTCTAAAACTGCAAATTCCAACTAAGTAAATACATAAACACGTTAAAGCAGTAAAAATGCCGGACAAACATGTCAAACAGCAGTGCAGGTGTGAGCACACTCACATATGGAGTGAAGATCTTGACCCAGCGAGGTTTCTTCTCCCCTCTGGCGTACTCAAAGCAGAAGGCCATCCCCTCCTCGTCAGTGTCCCAACGCTGCATCTCCCCCCACTCAAAAGCTATCACCTGGTTCTGAGGGAGAATTGACAGTAGGTAATCCTTGTTCATGTTTAGCTTAACACTAGATTGATATACAATTCAGTATGTGGGAAATCTATTTAGGAAAATATAGGAATGCTTTGATTTTATTATATAAGTGAAATCCTAAATTGCATATCCATGAAATTATTACAACATTCAATAATGTAAGACTATCCATATTTTAAAAAATGTGTTGCCTCAAAAAGTGATAAGTTACACCCTCTACTGTGTTTTTACACTTGTTCCCAAACTAGTGCAGGCAAACACTCACCTCCAGCGTGCCGTCCTCAGTGCAAGCGTGCAGCTTGAAGTGATGGATGCTGATAGCCGTGATGACATGACCCTTCCTCCTGGAGTCGCAGGAGCAGTGGGGGAACATCACCTCATTGTAGCCCTCACATGTCCGCAACAGGCTCAGGTACTAATAGGTATTACAGAACACACAACAGTTATTATTGCTGTAAGTAACCAGGTTAAGATTAAGGTCCAAATACTCTGAAACCTCAGTTAACAAGCAGTTTGAGCAGGGACCTGAGTTCCCACCTACTCCCAAATACATTGTTGTACTAATTACGGCATATTTAAGGTAGCCCGTAAGGCAAAGCACATACAAGAGTGAATGCACAAACATTAAGGGATAAATTGATCAGATAAATGAAATTTAAATGGTTAATTTATTGCCAGAAAATATATCAAAACTGAATAAAGGGTTAGGTTAGGTAAATAAAGTCTGACGGGCAGGCAAAAGTTTTTGTAATGCTGCTGTTATTCCAAATCGAGCCCAACCACTGCCCCTAGCATCCTGGATTGCTTCTAGCGTAGAAAGTCCTGTTGCATGTGTTTTCATGTTTGCCGCACTGCTGCATCATGTTTGTGTTTTCACTCTTGTGCGTGCTTTGTACTTAGGGGCCACCATATATGTTGCAGTTCATGAGAAACCTGTTTCATGTTTGAATTTACAAAAAGGCGACGTTAAGCTGTGAAAACTTTCCTATATAACATTTCAGTTTTCAAAACAAAAGTGAAAGCAGTAATATTCCGTTTGAGACTTTGAATACATTAGTTTGGATCCAGGATGAACAGCTATGAGTAATAATCATTCCTTTTTTTCCATCATACTGTGGCATCATTACATTCACTGTCTTTTTCATGCAAATTCAGACTTTTTCATGCAAGTCTGGCCTTCACCAACAATCAACTCACTGACGTACATGTAAATGAGTGTTGCTTTTATATTCATTTATCCAAGGTTTATCTTTAAAAGCTTGGAAATATTGTGCTGGGTGGCTACATAGTTTTGAATGCAGTTTTGAATTTGCACACAGAAGCTCTCACACACGCCACTTTCAGCTTATGTTCTACAAACATCAATATAAAGCCAATGGCTCTGTTTATAACATACAGGGCTGTATTCTGAGTGTGAAAAGGTTTCTGACTTTTCTCTCCATCTATATTTGGTCATGTTTTGGTGATGGCTCTGGTCAGCAGGCAAAAAGTGCAGTTATCCCCATCCCTTCCCCAAACAAAGACTGGTTTGTGGGACTGACCGTGGCCATCTTGCGCTGCTCTGCCAGTTTCTGCAGCTGGTAGGATTTGTCCTCCGTTTTTATGAATCCCTTCTTCACATCATCCAGTGCCTAGACACACAGGAGGTGGGGTGGATGGGGGTTTGGGGTGGCATGAAGAGATACAACACCATTTATCAATTGAGGCCACCGAATGAAAGATGATTATCCATTAAAACATTTACTAAGAAGATATTCAAGCATTTACAACAATAACCTCATGTGTTACGTCTTAAAGCAGCAATAACTGATGACAATACATCAAAGGACAATGTGACTGAGAAGTATCCCCTGAATCTGCAGCTCCATTCTGCTTTATGGAATTACAGTGAGTTTCACCTCATTGTTTAGTTTTCCAGTCCCCAACTTCACTGTTCTGGTTCACTCTCCCTGCTCTCATAGTATCATTGTGTCACCGCAGATATTTTCTGCTGTTTTCAGTGAAAAAGCTCTAAAAATCAACTGTACATTATCTGCTCAAACAATGGAGGGACACAGTTAACAACTACCTGGTGAACATAGTGGAGCATTTAGCAGCTAAAGAGCCAGACATTTCCCTCAGGAGTCGGTAGAGACCAAAAACAGAGCTAAAAGAGAGAGTGACTATTGGACTTACATTCACCAGGTGGTCACAGACACAATTCCTAATGAATGATAATGTTGCTCGGTAACTGCTGGAAATGCAAAAGCAATGGCTCGCTAACCTGTCTGCAATGTTAACTTAAAACAGGATGATACTGCGTGTCAATTTTGTGGTTCACAGCTTGCTTTTGCTGCCCCCATCTGGGCAAAAAAAAAAAAAAAAAAGGTCTTAGGTTTAACTATTCTGGATAGGTTTGTTTTCATGTTTGCCAGGAGTGCAAGCACTGAGATGTGCTGATTTTACGAGCAGAAATTGCTTTAATTGGTCACTGCTGAACTTCTCATGCCTAAAATGCTTCAGGTAGTGACCTTTATTGGTCAGCGGACAGCCTGTAGGCTGCTGTTCGTGCTATGGCTATTTTTAGTTAGAGGATTATTTTTTCCAGTTCACGCTTACACTATGCCTCAAAAAATGTGTGTGAGTTTCACTGGCTTTTAGAAAATCATGGGTCTCTGGTTTCCTGATTAAGTACACAAGTGGTGGCATTTCAAAGCACTAGAATATGTGTTTTATAATTAGGATACCATTTGTAAGACTTCGAGATAGTAGTTTAATGTTTTGTTTAGACTTGGTTAGAATGTTAGTTGCGGGTAAGACTGAACCTCTGTGTCTACGACTGTCACAAAAAACAGTTTAATTACCTAAGTATTTGCTAACAGACTCCCAGCTGGCAAGAATCCAACCACCACTGAGACATGTTTTGCTTGTTGATGTCAAAACATGGTGGGAAAGTGGCCTTACAGAGGACAAGACAACTTTGAAATTGTTATATCTTTGGTCTAATCAATTTTGTGGTGATGAGATACTAAGTAACCACATTGTGTTGGCTGGATATTGTTTAACCATAGGAATAAATAACTTGACGGAGAACTAGAAGATTCTGAGACCAGCAAAAGTAGTAAAGAGTAAAAGACTACATTAATACAGTAAATTTCCCTGATTATGGCAGAAATCATTCATGAACAAAAAAGCTAAAATTCCCAACATATTTGAACCCAGAAAGGAGTGTATAAACTCTTGGAAAAAGAATTGTGCTGAGTTCCTTTAAGTTCATGGCAAGTGGGATTCAATTATTGTTATTACCTGGTGAAAGCAGTAGTGCAGTGCCAGCGGGTTGTCTCTGAGCAACTCCTCCTCCTGGAAGCTGAACAACCATTTGCGAAGCGCCAAGCAAGTCCCCGGCACTGCCGATGTGTAGTTCTGCACATAAAGCTTGTGGGGAAACTCATTAGGTGCCAGCTTTCGTACTGCAACAAGAGATAGAAAGAAGGAGAGGCACGGTGATGAGGATGAAGGGCAGGAGGTTGTCTGTTCAGTCATTAAAAAAAAAAAAAATTAATTATAGCCTTTACCAAATTACACGCATTTGCTGTCCAAAACTGCACACAGACCCCAAGGCCCAATGAATTAAACTCACCAGTGGGATGATACAGCTCTTTATTTAGAAAACTTGTGATCATGTGATGAAGTCAGTCCAGAAAAGGCTTTTAAATTAAAAACACCTGACAGTATGTGACAATGTTCTACGTAATTTCCCTGTGCGATACTCATAAATATCAAATAAACAAAGTTCTTACCAAAGGAGTGGTTGATGACTTCAAAAAGGGCAAAGTAGCTCGCCATAATACTGTCCATTCCAACCTTCATCACTAATGCCTACAGGAAGAGCATTACAGGGTCAGTTACGTAAGAAAAACATTGTTTGAGAATTTCTTTGACACTATAACATGAAAGTTTATCTTCAATAGAATCTGCCTGCAAACATCTACAGTTATGGAATATCATGTATTTACCTTAGACACGATTTGACTTTGCAATTCTCAGTGTCATCATTAAAGCTAAGAAGTGAATGTAAAGCTCACTTCAGATGTTTAAACAACCTGTACAACCTGTACAATATAGCTGTATGACAGCAGATGTCATGTGGTCTTACCTGGTACACCTGGTCTGTTGTGCTGTTCTTACGGACTCTGACAGAGATGGTGGTCTTGTCTGGCAGGGCTATGCGCAGTTCTACATCCGTTACTCCATTGTAGTTCTGCACAGCGAAGCAAAACATGATGAGAACAGCTGTAAAGCTGGATTAACTCATGTGTGGCTTGACAAAGGTGTATGCTTGCTTGAGTGGGAGTGTATGCATGTGTTTGTTGTGAATTACTAAGTACTAAGTAAGTATTACTAATTAATAAGTACTTTTGGATTAAGAAAACAATAAAAAAACAAACAAGACATAATGAAACCAGAACTATTATCTGTAAGAGGGCCTAATCCTCCAAAGTGTTTCTTTGAGTGCAAATTAAATCAGTAGTGCTGCATTTGTTTCGCTATTATAGTTTCTCAAAACATTAGTAAGGCAATACAATTAACTATCTGACTGATTTCCAGACTGGCAGACAGAAATGCCAGCAAGCTACCTTCACAATACATTCATAAATTAATTTTTGAATGATTGTTATTGTGTAATAAATAACATACAGTGCTGTGCAACCTGTACGTGGGAAAAGGTTTTGAAAGATTTGCAGGAAAACTTTCCCCACTTGAAACTACAACTTTTCAAAGCTCAGAATCAAAAATCACATAGAAATAGATACATCTAAATCTCGTTCAGTCAATATCAGAACAGCAGTGTATGAGATGCATACCTCATCTGATTCAGAGAGAAACTCCTGCATGATGTCACTCTCCCCGATCACCCGCACAGAGCAAACTACAAGCAAACACAGACAAGGGTGGAGAAAAAAAAAGTGTTGGGGGGGGTCAAAGTTTACCAAATAAACAAAGGACAACTAAATGTTACTTTGCTTGTATCCCTTGTTCAGATTTACAGTATCTTCCATGCATGCAAATGTGTTTGTGTAAACAAACAGCCAATCACCAGCATTTTTATATCTTGGTTCAAGCATGCTGCCTGCTTATCGGCTCACTGAGGCTGATGAGATTTACTCATTTACTCCTTAGGTATCGAATGACAAGGCGTTTTTCAATCCTTGAAAGTATCAAACCGATTCAGTCATTCCATAAAAGTAACAAAGTTTGATACGTAGCCCTACATGGGCTTGGCCTATTTTCTATCGTTAAAAAATTATTTCTGCACGTACCCACTACATTGTTCCTTCTTTTGTTATGTATGGCCATTATGGATTTTGGTGGGTCTAAATACATTTTTGTACTTAGACATCATCCTTTGAAAATAAAGCTGTAATTATTCTTGAATGACATATAGATTGGTAACAGAAAAGCCTCTATCTTTGCCCTCGCCCATGCTGAATATCAACACAGAAACTGTTTCTTTTTTCTTTACACTAGTGACCTTTCCATATCAGCCTACCTCGCTCAAGATACTCTTCCAGGCCTCTACGGCGAGCATCCAGCTGCTGCTCAGAGAGGGAGAAGGGCCATTTCCCAGGAAGCTTTGGGAAGTTGAAGTTGGAAAACTCCCTCTTTAGGTTCTGGTGCAGGATGGCAAACTCTCGGTATCGCTTTGAGCACAGCTGTCTACCTGACATGTACACATTGTACACCTATGGCCATTGGGAAAAAAACACAGAAAGGCATTGGAGAATTTTCTATTCATATAACTGTGCATTTTCTACCTATATGGGAGAGATTGGGGGTTGAGGGCAGCCACAAGAGGCTATTTCAAGAATGAAAAATATAAGGTAATGTGTCAGAACACCACTCACCACAAACCTCTCCGAGTGCTGCTCTACATGTTTATATGTGGGAATTGAAATGGGCACAGCCTGCTTGTCACTGTAGTCATAGTTGGGTTGGACATCCTCTACTCCTTCCAATCCATCAGCCTCCTGAGGTGGAACAGAGAGCACAGCCAGAACCAGCTCCTTCTCCCCTGCACGGATCAGGTCCACTACCTGCTTATGGGTGGCACCTTCCACGCTCACCCCATTACTGGAGGAAAGTGAGAGCAAGATAAAGATGAAGAGAAGAAAGTGAGCTAAGAGTTTTTAAAACCTTTTTTCCCCAGGTTGTCACATGATCAATTAATGTTTCAGGTTGGCAGATGATCTGACTCTCTAAATACCAAGGAAATAAATCAAGCATTCAGCGCTTGACTGAACACTTGCCATGCTAATATGGTGTGAAATTTTTGTAATGTATAGACAAATATAGTATATAACAATACTTCAACTTAGGGTATCCCCCGCTATCAAATACTGACCTGATACCAGTACCCTCATTTCCCCACACTTAAATCCATGGAGTAATTAGTTTTATATAAGGTAACTTGGGGCCAGGATCTGGCACTTAAAACTCAGTTGTTGGCCTGCTGTGACTTAATGAATGCAACTGATAGTGGAAAGCTTTAATTTTATAATGACCCTGATAAAGAAACTGCATTTAATGTGGATTGGTCATGTCACAGTCGATAACCAGCCCACTTAATAAGGTCAATATTGGTGATTATACAGATTTGTGCATCCCTAATAATAACAATGGCACCAAAACCCCGATTTACAGCACAAAATTATGAAATATTTCATTAATGCAGCAAATATGCTTCCAGTACACTGTCCTATTATAATGCGCCAATGTCTCATATTTTGTCCTCCATTGATAAACACAATGTTGGGAGTGCTGTGTAACCAGGTCAGCTCTTATGTCCCCCTTTCATTTCGTGCTGTGAGACACCTCCCGTCCTGGCTTTGCTGAGGCCAGATGGCACCAGCATCAGGTGTCTCTGCTAATCTTCCAATGAGTAACAGCGGGACAGACACATGAAAGGAGGGAGTAAGCAAAGACCTCAAGCATAGATGTGTCCACTATATGTCATGTCTCAATTACTGATTATAAATGTATATTTGTATTGTATCATACATAGACAAATGGGAAAAGAGTGGGTCGTGAAAGACAAAATAAACAACAGGAGATGAGAAGAGCTGGTTTTATTATGAGGGCAAGGACTGACGTCATGACAGCATTCCTCTGAGTTGCTGAACTTAAAAGCAGACTTAGGGGTCTGAAGTGACCAAAAAGATGAAGGTAAAGGGAGTTGTTTTGGTCTCAACACAACTGTGATCCAATCATCGTCCTGTTAGACTAAACAGAAGCACAGCAATGCCTGCCAGAAAGGTGTCTCAGTTGCTGGTCGGCAACAAAGGGGGTTGGTAGAATGTAAATTAGGCTAAGAAAACATAAAGAAACATTAACACCAAAGTAGGGCTGAATACATTTGGGTTCTCAGCTATTTTCACTATGAATTAATATAGTGAATATGCTGTAAATAAGAAAAAACAAACTATTAATATGAACTAGAGATAAGCAAGCAGATCTTCAAATTTGGTTGGCTGAAAGATATTGGGCATTTTCATAAAATAAAAGATATAAATACATTATCTGTCATCACATTTTCCAAAATGATCAAAATTTAAATTGTGAGAATCAATGATCCAAACTGACTCAATTGTCTCAATATTCAGGCTACTGATTAATAGCCAGTTGACTGATCAGCTTACCACTAAGGTGAGGCCTCACAGGACCTCATGACATTACTTTTTCATGTAAATACACAGAAGCAAAGCAAGATCATTTTATTTTCATTTATTTTACGAACTAGGAAACATCTGACATCCTACACAAACTATAGTCTGGCAATTGTCAGTCATGAAACATTACATATAAGCTTGTGAAGCAGACTGTTCCCTTTCCTTGTTCATAAAACTCGAAGTGAAATGCTGACATATGATGTACGTAACCAGAGGATTCTTCTGCGTTTTTGCAGAATAGTCAAGCTGGTTAATAAGTCACATGATAAGAACCAGCCCTGTCATGTGACCAGTGAGTGATTTAGAAGGTAAAACTGAAAATACACAGGCTGGGTGAAACAAACTAGACGTAAGGTTATTGTTCCTTGTTTACAGTTTCTCTTCTCCTTTATTGAAAGCTTAGCCTATGGTCAAGTTACCAGTAATCCATGGACATGTTTTCACTGCTCAGATCCTGACTTTAAGGCCTATTATGCTGGGCCACATGGACTCCTAAGAAACATGTATAACTGTAGTAGTTGTAGATGTTATTTACCATTAACATTTTACTCCCTGTACATCTTACGACATTTCAACAATATTTTACATATAATTTCTCTGTAAAAATGTTTATTATGCATATGCTAAAAGTTAAAGGCTAAAATAAACTTTCAACATGTAAGTTATTTTATCTAAAACTAGGGAAAGAGTGACAGCTGACTGTACGACAGAAATTCGAAAGTTGGATGAAAAAGAAAAAAAACACATCTACAAAGATGTCTCTAGAATCCAGCAATGCGTATCACAACCACTGGTACTGATAGTGATAAAGGACGAAATCAATAGACACCTCTTAACACTGACCCATGTAAACAGCATGGCTAATCAAGCTAGCCTGCCAAGAGGTCTCTCTTCCAAGACAAGAAGGACACACACCATATGATGTTGAATTTGAGTGACAACACTGCCATCCACTGTCCTCAGGCAGGGTCAAAATACACATCCCAACTAGTATGCATATGACAATGCAATGTCAACAAAGCTGTCATTAAATCCATCCTCACAACTATTCTGAAGCAGTCACTAGCCAAAGGGCTAGCTAAACAAGACGTTAGCTACCTGGCTCGCTAGCTAGCTGAAGCTAATCAACATGCACAGCCTGTTGTCCAACTTATGTAAGGTGGTTAGCCTTCTCGTTAACTGACTAGCGTTAGCTTGGTGGAGCTACAACTCTAACTGATTAGTCAGATACAAATGCTCGTAAACAAGACAAATAACTACCTATCTATGTAAACGGCTACTTCTGTTGTCATAACACACAAGTGACGTAGCGTTATAACCTGAAGATAGCTAATGTTAACACATGCTTCAAACTGAATCCACACGGGCTTAACTCGATAGCTAGCTTTACTTGCTAACTCCCTGGCTTCATTGAACGGACAGAAGCTGACTTACACCTCCAGGATCCGGTCACCCTTTGCTATCCCAGCTCGGTCCGCCGCACCTCCGGGCAAAACAGCGCTAACATGCTGAAGAGGAGCGTACAGTTCCCCGTTGATGCTCCGGAGCTGTCCTCCTTCACTAACTTGACCGCGAACATTGAACCCGTAGCCGGACTCCGACTTGACAATCCTCACCACCCGTGGACCCGATGTTGCCGTAGCTACGATTTGGCCCGTGGTGCCCGCCGACGAACCGACAACCGGACCGTTACGGGATGCCGAAGGGAGAGCCGAACGAGTTTCATCGCCTTCTACATCCGCCATCTTATCCACAGACCCTACCCCCCCTCCTGTCGGTGTCTTCTAGCAAATTCAAAACAACACTCGAGCTCTGTCCCTCAGTAACGTTAGCTCCACAGACCGACTCTGTTGTTGATAACCCGCCCCTAGGAAGCGTCACGAGACACGGCCATACAACGTGACCTGCCGAAGGCGTCACCGAAACTGGTCTGTTCTGAACAGTCCCTCATCTTCTCAGTGCGAACTTACTTATCACGTAAACATTACGCATATAATCTGTTAACGTGACAATATGAGTAACAGGTCAATTTATTTGATTATATTATAAATATATTTATTATATCACCACATTTTTATTTATGAGCAACTTTTTTTTTTAGCTTGAAACAGTCTTTCTACACACTGGAAGTAAAAGTAAGAGATGATAGAGATGATAGTTAATATATAGGCCCACATTACATACCTTCCAATAGAAATTTTAATAGAATTTTGTAGAAGTAAATGTAGAAATATTATGTGGAAGTATTGACTGTTCCTGTTGACCTTGCCCCCCCCCACTACAAGATAGCCTTCTTTTTCAGCCAACCGAGTCTTACCCTCTTTATTTACCATATGTTGTATCAGTGTTGAAGTTGCTTTTCTATCTCTCAGGGAACTAAGCTTGATGCATTGAACTTCTTCTGATGGTGTGGTCACTTTTGGTCTGCCTGATTGTGCTTTTAAGACACCCGATCCAGTTTCTACAAAGCGTTTTGGAGTAACATACAGTGCTCCCTTTGAAACCCTTGGTCTAGCCATGATTAGATACTAGGAGCTTCGAATAACAGTTTGATTTATGACACTTTCACTTGTTTCTGACGCTATTTTTTCTACTATCACAATGCTACTTAGTAAGCAATGATCAGCTGGAAACTTGAGGCACAGACTTATTTATAACAAGTGAACCCTGGCTGCAAGTTGAGTTACTTGGACGAGCCACCTGATTGTCATCTGAGCACATGCTTCATTGGAAGGGATACAACTAAAGGAAATTGGACCTTTTATACAAGGGAGTTGAGTTGGTCAGTGCTCCAGATTTGCTTAATTTTGATTGCTCACCAATAGAAATAGTGCAGAATCTTGATTAATTCCCCTTCATTTTACATGACATAACTTCTTGTGTTTTTAAATGTTTCAGAATCCTCAAACTTTCTGATTATTTCCAGGTTTATGTGGAAATATTCGAGAATTTCAATGTGGTCTCAGACTTTTGAACCCCACTGTATTTTATAAAAAGGCCTGCAGTACAGACAGTTATGTAACTGCCCTTGGAGTCAGAGCTCATCTTTTCCACAAACTGAGAAGCCACTCTTACAAAATGATGTTCCATCTGTATGGGAGCTGAATGTTAATGTTAGTATTTACTTTAAGTACTTTGGTACAATACAGAAACATGCTCTCTCTCTCTCTCTCTCTCCCTCTCTCATTTTTGTCACTGGCTGATTTGCTGCCTCGTGACACAGTTAAAAACTGATGCCAAACACTACACAACATATCATTGTGCCTCATGTCATGTTATCTTATGTAATCTAAACAGGAGCAAGTAATTGTACAATTGAGGTGCTGATTACTAATTTTAAATTAATAATTTAATTAATAATGTTATTATTAATTTAAATTCATTATAGAGGGAGGTGTCATCTGTGAGACCACCTGTTCTGTATTTGATTGGTATAAAAACTTGCAGGTTGCTGTGCCCTTGAGACACATTTTTGCCAAAATACATCGTGTTAAAAGAATATTGGTGTATAGCCAACACGTCACCAATAAATGGAAATAAATGAAAGTTGAAGCTGAACTGAGAAGAGTTTACAGTAAAAGAAACTAATTTTAATATTTTAGTTGTAAGAGGAAGATTATTTTTATTTCTCATTTCAGAAGTTACATAGTCCTGTCTTAAATAGAGTGCTTGGCAAACATTCTGAATTGCAATGGCGTCCTTCCTACCATAACCTGCAGTTGTATTGTTCCTTTCCTGAAGGTAGTCCAGCAAGAGTTCAGGCATGAAGTCTAGTGAGAACAAAATCAAACACTTAATGTGTTTTGGGCAAACATCAAAAGTATCATCAGCTTACTGAAGATTATGGAGCTGACATGTCTGTGCAATTGCCCAATATTGGTACGTGCAGTAACACACAAAGTGCACAACTCAAGTGTTTCAAACAACGAAAAAAAGTTTATTTAATTTTGCATAACGACATATATAATATTTTTTGTTAGTGCCTTTTAGCAGTAGTAAATGTTTATTCCTTAAAGAGACACTCTTCTCTTTCACAGGAAGGCACCTCTCCGTGCTGGCCCCAAGGTGGCGCTCGGATCCCTATTTCTTGCCGATGAAGTACTCGTGGCACATCTGAGTGAGGCAGGACACCAGGGTGACAAACTCACGGAAGTCCACACTGTTGTCCTTGTTTGTGTCCAGATCCTTGAAGATGCGGTCTATTGCTGCCTTGTCATTGGATTTCTGCAGGTAAGAAAAAAGTTAGCGAACGCGTTGCCTGGCTTTGCGCAACTTTCTGCCAAACACAGGATTCCATTATGCATGTCGTCATTTTAAGACATTAGTTGTAGGTAAGTTCTCAGCAGGCTCATCAGAAATGTCACTGGACGTGTGCACAGCCAGATGCACAAACCATATTACAATATTAATGTATTTAATACTCTCAATATACAAAGCTCTACATGTAGGTCAGTGTATTCATTCATCCTTTTGAGTGTGCAGCACTGACACGGAGAGAGGCCAAAGGTCACTCACCCCCAGCAGCTCTCCAAATTCATTCGCAAGCAGCTCTTTCAGCTCCGCCTTGCTCAGGGTGTGATTGTCCCCCTCCTTGCCAGAGTATTTATCAAAGGCGGTGATGAGGAGGGCCATGGCCTGCTGGATGTCAGACATGATGATGGCTGGTTTAAGAGGACAGAAATAAAAAAAGAATTAAACAATGACACATGGAATTTTTCCTGGTGTCCCTGTATTGATTGTCATCAAACCTTTTATACTGTGATGACATGGACTCTGTGGTATTGGTTATACATCCTCAGATGGACTAACTGAAGAAGTAGCTGAAGGATGGCGCTCTCATTTGAAGTCGCTATGACTCCATCTAGAGGACGAGTGAAGATCTGTTGACTTCATCATGTGATACTGTGGTCAAATTTGAAATGCTAACAAAGGACATAGTTTATATCCACAGCTTGAGGGACCGGTTGCAGGGGAAAAAAAAGGAAGGGAGAGGAGTGCAGGGACTGTGCGGTTGAACTGGCATTGAACAGATTTACTCAGTTAGACGTTCTTTTGATTTTTTTTTTTTTTTTTGGCCGAGCATTGCATTTTAGAATCTGGCGTCTAGTTATAAGTCTGCTTCACTATTGTGCCAGTGTTGGCCAACTGCTTTTTTGTCCTGTTGCAGTTTAAGTGGCAACATGAGTTTACTCATATACTATAATAACAGACACAAAATATATACATTATGTAGCAAAATATATACTTAAAGGAATGCATACTAATTTAATTAATTAATTAAAAGATTAAAAGTATGAAACAATGGCTGACATAATTGCTTTTGTCTCTGCTAGTGTTTTTCTCTGGATTTTCCATGCTGCTGGATATAAATAAACCCTGGGTTTCCACCAGGGCCCAAGCACTCGTATTTCCCTATGTCACCGGTCTCTAACACAGCGTCTCTGCCGAGTGACACGGGACATTGTTATGGCAACAGCAGAATCTCTCCAGGTAACCATGCTGAACTAGGTAAAGGAGCAGGTCAAGGCTTGATTAAAGTCCCTGCAGACGGTGCCAGATGTCTGTTCTCTTAGCTGAAAAGTGTTTTTTTTTCCCACTGACTGCATGAACCCAAGAGTCAGTTCTGGTTGCATTGACTCTGACTCACATGGTACTGCTCCTTCACTGGGGTGTGGTAAGCTGAGGAAACTGTGGCACCGGAGGGTTTGTAAACAGATGGGAATTGTGGAGGAAGAGAGCACAAAAACAAAAACCATACTATACCATAAATACCTGATCAGATTTGGTTTCAAGTAAAAGTAAGAATATCTGTTGCAACACTGCAAGTTTCACAAGCAATGAAGAGAAGTCATAGTTAATTAAAAAAATATACACAGAGCTGGTAACTTTGCAGTTTGTGAATACTTGTGTGCTATTTCTGAATTTCACACAAATAAAAATGACTAGAATGACATGAAATTTCCAATTGCAAAAAGTCCAGGAGCAATTTTTTCACACAAAATGAGATTGTTTAGATTTTCTACTCACCAAGGTTGGGATTTAAGGAGATTAGAGAGTGAAAGTCAGTCTTGGAGGAGCTGTAGTGATGGGGAAATGGATGCAAAGGATGCTTTATACAGCACCACACCCACTATCCCTCCCTCCATAATACCCCTTTCATCTTCAGCCATTCCTACTTCTTGTGTCCCCCTGTGTTCTGTAACTTTTTTTCATTTCAGTCACTCTTCAAGAAACACTGCATTTATCTATTGTTGCTTAGAAAATGATCAACAAACAAATAATGATTATTCATGCTGGTTGTCAGGGGTTCTGCTGTGAATCATTTTGTACTTCATGTCTACAACATCTTGCAGTCTGATAAGAACATTGCATGTATGCATTCAGGAAGCACTTTCAAAATGCAAAAAAAAAGTTAGCATAATTTATCACAGTAACTTAATGTTGTGATCTCAAGATTGCATTTGACTCTGTTAGTGCTATTAGTACTGCAGACAGTCTTGGACATAGAGAATATGAAGATTAGCAGTGTGCTGACTTCTTCAAAGTTAAAATTCTCCGTGCTTGTTACAGCTACAATATAATCAAAGCCAACTTAGTCATGCAACAGTCATAAAAAGTTTTTTTTTTTTACATTCTTTGATGCAGTGTATCTGATGAGATATAGATTTTATGCTTACTGTCAGTTTACTTCTTTTTAATTCAGCGAAAACAAAATCTGTATTCATTTTTCTTGTCTGTTGCAAGCTGATGAAAGGAGAGTTACAATTACTATGTGAACACATTCACTTTTTGTAACGATGCAGTCATATACAGCAGGTCCTTTTAGAGATCACTTTTCTTAATCCTTTTAATGCTAGATTAGACAAATACTAGAGCTGCTTTTTATGACAAAAAACAAAGTTAACTTGGAGAGCAAACTTTTGTCATGTTTTTTAAAAAAAATACCTGCACCTCTGTTTCATTTTGCAAGTTTGTTATATACAATATCTCTATGCAACAAATCCCAAATAAATTTTGATCATTTTTATGACTTTTCTAAAGATAAAGACCAAATGTGAGATTTCGGTTGCAGTACCCTTCCTGAAAGACTTAACTGCCTGGCAAATTCAATGTCATGCATGTTTTAAGTTAAATGTGGATTTTTTTTTTTTCTTCTATCCACTCGTGTGTCAGCAGACATTTAAATTGCATGTTGTACTGACTAATTTCTGGTGCTTTTGTGCGTATAATGACTTTTTGTCTATTTTTATTTAATTGTTTGAGACACACATGACTCTAAAACGAGAACCTTAGGCACAGTGAGTCAGTGAGCGTTGATTGTTATGGTTTCAAATGGGTCCACTCTTCCTTGCAATTTTGTGGTGGAGGCTATGACTCACAGTCATGTCCCTGAAGCTCATGAGTCATACTGCAGAGACCAGGAATGAGAGACCAAAAAAATAAATAAATAAATAAAAAAAAGTCAGTGCTGTGGCAACTCTGTGTATATTTAGTTCCATATGTGTGTGTGTGTGTGTGGTCTGTTGTGTGACTTATGCTTAGTTATCAAAGGTCTTTTCCTGTCTCTCCTCTTTGGTCAGGGTACAATTATTTTGGTCTCTAATTAACAACTTAAATCAAAGTCCAGTAAAGTACAGATCGTAGATGAGAAGTTAAGTCCCTCTCACCACCGTGCATGTCTTCTGTTGTAATGCAACATTGCACTGCACTTTTTCACTGTGCGGAAAACAGTCGTCAAACTTTTTTCCTGTCCTCTTCCTTCCTCATTTTAATAACTTAAATTAGGGAGGGAGTATCCATGGAAACCACATTCCACTTTTCTTCCAGCTGTGATTCATATGAAACTATCTGCAGCACAGCCGGAGCGGTTTTAATAACTTATCAAACATTCAAGGCCAACATTATGATTACAGTTATTCTCGTGTGCCATCTGGTGGTGAAACAGAAGTACACTGGAAAGAAAGCATATAGTGTTCTTTCCCAAAAGAGAATCTGTTGGACAGTTTTAACCAGAATTCAAAAAGAAGTTTGGTACTTTTTTATTAGTATTTTTAATAATTTTTAAAAATATATATTATTGTAGGGGAGTTTTAAGCTTTCATTAGTGAAAGACAGGAAAGAGATTTCTGTAAATGAGGGGAGTAAAAGACCACAAACAATAAAAGCCACCGTCATTTATCTACACCTGTGCTGGCCAAAATGTCTTCTGTGAAGAAGGTTTAATGTAGCTACAACCTTGTGTTCACCGTTCAAAGATGGAGGGAAAAGTAGGGCACTTGGGGCAGTGCCCCACTCTGACTTTAAACAGTTTTGTTGGTTGTTTTATATTTGCAAAGTGGGGTGAAAAATAAAAGTGTGAACATATCCTTTCACCTATGAATATAACCAGCAAAAATGCTGGCTCAGATCTAAGCAACAGCAAAAAGGAAACCAATAAACTGATATGAAGTACTTCAACGTTTTTTATAAGCTACATCATCAGCTATAAAAAGATCACAATAGTTCGATGTCGTTTCCCATGGCAACAGCTACAAACCGGACGTTGGGGGGTTGATGTGTTAAGAACTGGTGTTATAGTTTAACAGATTAAATTATCCACTGACAGGGGCTATTCTGTCTGTGCACATCCAAAGTATGTAGGTGTGGTATACACTGGTGAGTGGTGAATGTTTGCTAATCTTTGAACCAATACACACCCCTCCACAAAGAATGACTAGAGATATAATAAAACTGGGAGGATGCAGGGTTGTTCCAGCTGACGAGGTTGTGACTAAGGTCCTGATCTCAGTATTAGGAAGTCTGCTCACTTAGGGAGAAAGATTTGACCTGGTCATTGGCGTCCCAAATCGACGGCTGGTGTCTTGCTTCATGTTTCTAGAGAGTAATTCATCTGCACAAATGATGATTGTATTGTTTTAGGCCCCATGATAAACATGTAGCCTGTAGACATGAGTTCGCTGCACCTCATACTTCTATGAATGCAGTGGTCTGTTTATATGAGAAACACAAAAGGGATATTGAAAAAAACAGTCAGCAAAGTAGGAATTCCCGGCTCTAAACTCAGCTGTGGATCACATGGGCGTGGTGCTTGTGTAAACTGAGGGGTGAATACAAACTGTAGCAACACACACACACACACACACACAATCACACACATACCCACTGAGAGTATCGTAGCCTAGCAACTTCAGTGTTTGCGCTGTAACCATGAACACTGGTAGGCCGCAAAGTCTGGCCTTACCCAGGGAGGTGTGTGCAAGGCTCATGAGGCACGTGACACTCCTTTGCCCTAAGTTTAGTCTTCCAGGCACGGCTACCTCAAGCAGTAAAAGCTCTGCATACTTCTCTGGGAACGGTAGACCATCACCAGAACCCACGGTCGTCAACCCTAACCCACAGAACCCTATCCTTTACATCTGTGACGGAAGCATTTGATTGGTGGAGCCTGTCGGTGTCAGCACATAGCCTGAGAAGAAGTGTTGCCTGAGAAGATGTGATTTTAGAGTGAAAAAAAAAAAACCCTCCCATTTTCTGGTCAGGGAAAGTCAGAAGGCGGAGGGCTATCCTATCCTGTCCCCCTCTCTGGGGTTGTCCAACTTTGACCAGACATGAAACACAATGAAAAGAATTTGGTGGAAAAACAGTGGTGAGCTGATCTGCCGAGCCCTGTGACTCAGACCCTCCACATTTCTTCATGGTGCCCACTTCTGCCTTGCTTAATCAAATGGAACTGACTAATATGCTGCAAACTTTACTCGGTTACAAAGCACCTTATCAGCTAATTTATCTGCTCACTGATGCGCCATAATGTAGAGAGTTGCAACATCAGCTTCAGAGAGAGGTGTGGTCATGAGCAGAACATTCTGCAGATTCCTCGGGGCAGTGATAAGCAGGACTTTATCAAGCAGAGAGGGAGAGTTTTGTCTGCCCTATCACACTCAGGGAAGCATAAAATACAGGTGGGAATTACGTCATCACACCTAGTGTTGCTGGTACAGTTGCCAAGAGAGCGAGTACAACGTGATCTCTGGAATGAGATTTACCAGGGTGTGAGGTTAACACAAACCAATGGCTGGGAAATAGCTATGACATGACGTTTGCTGTCATTTTTTAATATTCATGCAAATAAATGTGGTGAAAGGTGGTTTCGTATTTAAATGAGAGAAAATGTACAAAGACATGAGCCTAAATATGCAGTAATTTACACATAGACACACAACGCCCACGAGACACAAGAGGTTTGAAATTCTTCAGTATATTTAATGGACAAAACTATCTTTACAAAAATTGATATTCTTTTTGGTTTCTTCTCCTCTCTTCTGCTGTCATCTTTTACTTCTTTCCAGTCTTCTTCATGTGCATCTGATAGCACTGCTCACAGGCAATGGAAAGTCCGACAACCAGCGAAACAAACTCCTCAAAGTCCACCTGGCCATCACCGTTGGTGTCCAGGTCCTTCATGATCTTGTCGACAGCAGCAGGGTCCTTCTGAGACTGAAGGGGAGCATCAACAAAGAAAATCAATAATGAACAACTGTGTTAAAATGTTTTGGAAGCTGTCATTATGCACTTTACACGTTGATCCCTTCTCACCTTGAGGAAGTTAGACAGCTCGTTCTCCATCAGCTCTCTGAGCTCTCGTCGGTTGAGTGTGCCGGTCCGGCCCTCTTTAGAGGCGTAGCGGTGGAACACCTTGATGAGTGACTCCATGGCGGTTTCCAGTTCTGAAGGCATGGTTGCTGGGAGTGTGTTTCGACTGAAAAACAAAGTTCAAATTGATATGATCACTGATGGCACACAGTTTAGTTCCAGTGACCAATTTTAAAAACAAGAACTCAGGGAACTTTGATGAGAAAATGGAGAAGATTGATAAAAACTTGTTTTAGCTGTGATAGTTGATGTGAAAGTCCTAAAATGACTTTTGTACAGTATCATGTCCTCCTGATGACCTTATCTAAAGATTTTAAGGGGGATTTCAAAAAGCCAAGAAGCGGATCCTCTCAGAGTAAACGGTACAAACCGCTTGTGTAAAACAAATGTTGGCTTGATTTATCAACAGTCACCTCCTCCAGTCAGATTATGTGTCTTTCTTTTGGAGAAATAAAATTAAGACTCCGTCCCGCAAAAGAGGATCGTTCCATCGTTTTGTAGGTAGATGTGAAGCAACTCAATGAAGGGGAAGCAGCACTTGGCCCATGTTCCAGCGTCCCCTCCCACTGATGACTAATGTTCATGAAGAAGTGAGAGAATGTCTGTTATTAAGTTGTTAGAAAAAGACCGCCGGGATAGCCCCTGATTTCAAAAAAACAAATCACAAAACTGAAACCACTGTGAACACACTTAACCTTGTTGCTGTGGAGTTTCAACAGTTGAAAAGGAGAAGAGGGAGGGAAAAACAGAGAGAGGTTGTGTGTTATTTGTGTGACAGGGAATGGAAAACTTAAGTCTACCAAGGCCCCGAATGGTGGAATTTGAGTCTATAGCAGCAGAGCACATGTGTGTACATGCCCACAGTCACCACCAGTCACACCATACCCTTTATCTATTGTGTATACAGACTCCACTGTGTTAACAATACTACAAGAGGTGGAATGAAACGTGAGTAAAACAGGAAAAAATAGCCTACTACATGAATCTTATAAAAATATTAAAACAGTCTTAAAGTCCTAAACATTGTCAAAGTGTGAGCTGGAACTTGCAGCACCATATAAATAGGCCATAGTCAACATATATACACAGTATATACAGCTATAATTAAAAGTAGTAGGCTACAAAACAGCAGAGAAACTTTTATTCAATTCTCCATAAAAAAAAACCGTTACCACAGACAGGCCATGCCTTCCCATCAGGAAAACTATGCGTAGCAGATAAAAGTACATAAGTAATTCATTTCTCCCACACCCAATCGGCTGTATACCTGCAGGCGTTAAAGGGTTTGTGAAAATCCTGACAAACAAAGCGAAACTGAGAAGGGAGCAGAGCCATGAGGTCTTACCGTGCAGGGCTGGGACGTGGTCGTCAGAGCAGAGGTGGGAATGTTCAGAAGTTGGGAATAAGCGCAGCAGAGATTTTATAGTCAGGCGACGCCCTGGCTGCCGTGCGGTGTGAGTCAAACTGTGAGATGGACGGTGGGCTTTATCGACGCTGCACACACGGCGGTGGGCGGTAACACAGATACAGTATTAATAAACTTTACATTAGATTGTGGAGTACTTGTACTAACATATATATATATATATATCTTCTTAAATAGTAAGAACAGTGACATTGTCAAAAAAGTAATGCATAAATCAAAAAATATAGGCTATCTCACTTGGGGTATTTTTACCACTACAAAAACAATGTCAGGAGTAACATAGATTAGCCTAATCTTATTTAGTAGTAGGCTGTAGTAGCTAGTTCATAAATGATTAATAAAGTGAGGTGAAAGTTATTTCATGTCACATTTATCACTGATATGCTACAGCATGGCTGGATTAACCTCCCAGGAGGCCCCTGGGCAAAATTTAGTTTTGGGGGCCCTACTGACTCCCACTATACGTGGCAGTGTCATTAGTTCCTCTAGCAACCAGAAGCCAACCGGTGTATTTTCTGACATTTTATACACTGAATAATCAATTGATTATAAAAGAAAATAATTGTGTATTGCAGCCTAACAGTACGGCTATGATGGATTAATACTATCTTCCTCTTGGTTCTCTGTGTGTTGATTACTTAACACAGAAAGAAGTAATTTGATACATATGAACTAATTATACAATAAACAATATAAACTACAGTAATTAAGTTCTACTAGGCTAGCTTGTGACACAAAGTCCTTCCTCAAGACCAGAGTGACAACGTGGAGAATGGAGGACCCATTATAGTTGATACTGTTCTTCATGGGGCCAAATTTATAACAAATTTACAATTACACTAAACCTGGGAGTTTTGAGGTCTTGGTGGGGTCTGGGGCCCCTGAGCAGTCGTCCCCTTTGCCTGGTTGGTGATCCAGTCAAAAAAAAAAAAGTTAACTTAAGAAGAGGATTTGTCACAAGCAAAGTAGGGAACTGTGGACTAAAAATGACGTAGTTAATGACTGTGACTCAGTGTAACCAGCAGCAAAGCCAATCAGTAGCATTTTAACATACAGTACATGATGATCTCACTAAACAAGATCTATTGTCCCTGCAGTGACTGAGTGATTAACAACACATGCAATCAAGTGATTGGATTTATGCTAAACCTGAACAAATTACTGTTAATATTTGTATTAATGTTCCAATGGGAAACTCACATATTGTGCAATAATTGATACTGAGTTCACAGTGTTATACTCTTACTCTATAGGGACTGCTTTGTTACCGTTACATTGCAGGTACTGACCATTATAACACAGATTAAACTAAACAAACAATGTACATTCCAGCAGTTTCTCCTTCATTTTCAGAACGATTTTGGCAAAGAATTATCAGAACATATGATAGACTGCAGATTGTGTATTGGAAGACTGTTGGTATTTTGTTTTGAGTTTTCTTATTACTGGATGATATTCCTCTTTTGTTTTGTTCATCCTGTGAAGCGCTTTGCTGAAGTGTGCTTCTGATAGGCTACATGAGTTGTGGGCCATCTTGTGGTGAAAATATGGTATTACAAACTGTGTGTCAACTGGGGAAACTGACAAACATGTTAAATAAAAATGCACATTTGAATGAGAAAGCTTCTTGCTTTCTTCATTAAAGAGATCTGGTTCAATAGCACATGTAGCTATGAGCTCTAGATCCAGATCTTTATTTGACTCCATGTGTGTGTAAAATGAAGCCCTAACTTGTGACTGTCACAGTCATGTGGTAGATGGATGTGTGTATTTCTACATAAAGGCCTGTCCCATTTTCTTTTTCTTACAGCGTTTGATTATGAGGTTGGATTCAAATATCAATAAGGTTACATTTCCACTGTAACTGATTGAGCAGATGCCTGAATAGAGCAGTATGCACACCATCCTGTGGACATCCTGTGGTACAGCACCCGAAGGCCTGCATAATGAACACACCTGACAGCAAATTTACCAGAGAACAACAACAGTGAACTTACTACTGTTAACAGAGAGAAACCTGATTTTTACTCAACTGCTTACTAGCACCTATGGATTAAGTACTGTAAGTAGGAATACGGTAGTTCAGGGTTGAAAAAATTTAGTGCCAAAGGAAAGTGGTTTTCACAGGAAGATAAAGTCCTGAAAATATTCTACATGAAGCGTACCTTTCAACAGATATAGGATTGTTTCAGTGGCCATCGTTTCAAAGTGTCTAAAACACTTCTGGTGGCCCCGTGCACAGAAGCACATAGCTCTGCTAGTGTGCCGGTGTTCTCGGCCGCCTCTCTTAACTGGCATCCACTGCAGGTAATACACCAACTATGCACGACTACCTCATACAACCCCATCAAATAACCCAAACTATCCCTTTAAGCAAAACACAGTGTCGGAAAGGAACTATATTGTAAGTGCTCCTCAGTTTTAGTTGAACTTTAAAATCAAAGGAGATACTGAGCTTTCTACACTTTTTAGTAGCTTTGCAGTTTAAGACTTAACATACAAATGATGATCATCCCTAAGGATGTGATGTGCTTTTATAGATTGAACTGCACATCAGTGAAAATATAGTTAAATTAGCAACACATCCACCAACCACAGCATCAAATTGTTGTTTATATATCATTGTCATTGCATCAGTACTAATAATCACAGAAAGTAATATATTAGACTTTGAGTGGAGTCGTTCTGCATCATAAATACTTTCATTTTTTTAGTATTTCAAGGAGGCTACAATAAATAATTACTTTTATTCCAGTAAATGAAATGAATACTTCTGGAAAAGTAATTTCTGCTATCCCAGTGACATTTGGGGTCTACAGCTGGTAACCCAAGGCATACAGTCCACCAGATAATGGCCAATGTTGCTCCACTGCCATATGCGTTGACTGTTAGCTATTTAGGGAAAACCTCACCTCAAATCCTCAAAACCCCTCACTGTTTCCATACAGGATTGATGATGTCGGTCTACATCCTTGAGGGAACGTTACTGCTCGACATATTTGCCCTCCGATAGAGGATTCAGATTCGCTTTTCCCCGTCCAATGGCATAAAGCTTTCAACCTGCTGTGTTCCACATCATTTGAAGGCATCCGGTGCGGGATGGCAAGGGTGGGGGGCGGGATGTCTGGGTGAGGAATACAGCTACAGGCATCTATTCAGCGTGGATATAGACTGAAATTAGTAACAAATTGAGGAATCGGTGTCCTCGTTTTTGTTTGTTTTTTACTCAGAAGCTGATATTTATCAGCCTTTTTGTATTGATGCGCAAAAATGTCCAGATCGACTGTCTTTTGAAAAATTATACAATTAGATTTTACCAAACGGTAAACCGGAAAAAAAAATTATAGTTACACATTTTTAAATTGTTAATATGTACCACATGGCCTATGGCCTAGATACGTCGCGATTAATATCCAGATGATGAAAAGAGGAGGTAGCTATTTTCTTAAAATGGCAGAGATGGATTTAAAAACAGCCACATCAACGATGGAAGCTTTGGTTCGTATCAGTGTGAGTATGTGTCTGTTTTTGTGTTGTCGCTGTGTGTACATTCAAATAAGGGTAGGCTATTTCTTTTTTCTTTTTTTTAATTTGAACTGCAACCTTTTTTTTTAATTTTTTTTTTTATATGTAGAACTGAATTCACGGTGTGGATGAATAGCGTGTCTCCATGTTTCACTCTCCGGAGCGTTTCTGGAAAACGGGCCTATCTGTCTTGCAATTAGAAAGAAGGCCTTTGAATTAAAATGAAATACGATGCATGTGGCCGATACAATTTAGGGGAAATCCCCAGTTCTTGGTGTAGGAAATCTGTGGTGTAAGGTTGGTTTTCTTGATGCTGTAACCCACATTAATGGAGATCCTAAAATGCCTCGATCGGCACACCATACTCGAGCTAACTTCCTCTTCGGTACTGTAAATAAATGTGCTTTTTTTGACTGTAGATATGACTGTGTTTTGAATTTTTACAAATGGCAAAACAGCGTGGGTGCAGACTGAAATGACACGTTTCTTTTTTTGGGCTCACTGGATGGTCGTTTCCATGGAGACGAGATGCAGGATCTTCGGCTGCTGCTGCTGCTGAGGCAAGGGAGAAAAGTGTGTAGATGCTGCTGTGCTGCTTGTAGCAATATAGGGTTAAAAGTCATGAATCGTTTGCAGAGGTGGTTACAAGGACTGACTTTCCCGAGGTCTTCGCTCGTGCACATGTTATATGACATATCACATAAAAATATATAAAATATAACGTGCAGCATCTTTTTATGCAATCGAGTTAGTCATTTTACCGGTGCAGGAGGAGAGGAGGGGAAAGGGAGGGGGCGGAGGAGGAGGGGGGGGGGTCATTGTTCGAGATGCACTGCCTCAAACCCCTCCCCTCTTTCCAAGAGACAGCGCTGTCTTGATGCTGGGAATGTGCACGTAGTCCACTGCTGCCATGGCGCCTAGATTCCAGGTGAAGGTAAGAATGCGATGTCGCATCGCCTGTTTCACACCTTCACCGCGCCGGGCTCGGCATTAGCAGTGCGCACTATCCATCTCAGCCCACAGCTGCGGGCCCACAGTTTGTCGTGGTGTTTGTGGTCTGCTGAAATTGCGACACAGTACATTGCACGAGGGGGCAGAAAAAAAAGGCAGGCCGGAGTTGACATTGGAGAATGACACAGAGGGACTGAGATGGACTGAGGGGGAAAGTAGGTTCCGTTAATCCAGTGTAAGAATAGTGAATATGGATCTCTTCGTTTGTTTTGCAGCAGCCTAATTGTGTCTCAACTGGGGGAACGTGCCTGCAGCTGTATCCTTTTATTTAACTGTGGAAACTGGGAGGGCATTGCTCGCATCAATCATCTTGTATATGTTAGTTTTGTCATCTAGCTGCATAATGTTGTGTGAGTTCTTGGCCTTCTTAAAAATCAAGTGGACATGCAGGAATGTACCCCTGTATGTTATCCCTAATGATTCTGCAACCCCACGCAGAAACAGTGGTATTAACAGTGGTTTATGGCGTGCTGTTATAAGTTCTCCTGATCCTGCATCACATCAATGTGACAAAATCTCCAAACCCCCTATGCAGCACAGTCAGTCGGTTTGTCTTGTCCCGATTTCTGAAGTGAACTCATAGTGTCAGTGCTGCTGCTGCTGCTGCTGCTGCTGCTGGTGGTGGTGGCCCTGCAACAGTTTTGGTTGTAGGCTGAGGTTGTGTGTCAAGGGCATCCATGTAGCAAAATAAAGCAGGCCATCTGAACCGGCAAAATAAATGGAAATTTGACATACTCCTCGTATGGTCATACTGGTTATACACAAGATCTGAGTAATTAACACACATACTGAGATACATGAAGCCTTGTAGTTAGAGTGACTGTGGATGTGAAGTCAGAGGTTTCTGCAACAGCCAGTGTGTCCTTTTCTGTCAAATCAATGTCCTTTAGCTGGGCAGTGACACGCTAACTGCTTTAGAGGTCTGCTTTTTCACTTGCCCCCCCCCCACACCCACACACCCACAAAAGCTCTGACCACTGTGGTTACATGGACGGAAGGTGCTGGTTCAGCAGTGAGGTATACAAAGAAATAAACCCATCATCAAACTGTCATATAAACTGATTAAAACGAACACTTCTACTGTGTGTGATATGTGAAATCCAGTGTCTTTGCACTGCATTTTATGTCCTGTTCTTATTGTGCCATGTGACAGTATGTACCACCATGGAGGCTGGATCTGATATGCTATGAGAAATATGAGCAGTAACGAAGCCAATCTATGGATGTACACTAGAGCTAGTGGTCATTTGTAGCCTCTGTAATACACATTTACATCCACATGATGATGCTGAGTAAAAAATATGTAATAAATACAGAAAGACATACAGACATACAGTAGTGGCTACTGGCTAAAGTGCCCATGTTCATATGCAGGGCTTGAATTGAAGAGATGCACTCTGTGCAGTGGTTGAATAATTAATGCCTGGTCTTAATCCATATTTAAGAAGATTGATGCCCTATGTCGCCGGTCTGGGACAGCTGTACCCATTGCCCTGTCTCTCTCTCAGTTCACCTCTGTCCACTATAATACTGTACTTCCTCAGTGGTAAGCCTGCAAGTATATGGCTAGGTATCAAACCTCACTACTTTTCTGGGTCCAACTGAAATGTGTCCGTAGATCAATTGTCTGAGTGCTTGGTCAGATTCATAGCCTAATGTTTACTTATTCTTTAATAATATGGTTCATCTTTTAAATCAAAATGTTGTTTTAGAATATTAATTTCTTGCATGGCTGACAATATTTAACATTTGAGAGAGTTTTCAAATGATATCCAGTATGTTTGTGTAAAAAAACAACTTGGGTGGCTATAGTCTGGAGGTGTACAACTGGCCTAATCTTCCGGTCAGAGAAAACGCAGCAATTTCACTCCTTCAGATGAAACATTTATTCCAAACATACACTGGTTTCCAAGCGTGAGGAGTTGTAAATATGACAGGTACATTAGATGTGGTTTGTGATATCTCTAACAGGAAATAATAATGACTTCACAGGGGCAGCACATTTAGAATTTAACATGGGGTATTTGTTACATGAATGAAAAGTAATGCTACCTAATAACCACAAGGGGTCAGGGCATGGACATGAATGAACACTAACATGGCGCTGATGTCCAGGTGTGTAGAAGGTCACATGACCGGACAAGACTTCACTATGTCACGGAATTCAGTGCCTCCTTGCGCCAGTTTTGGCAACATGACAGGTAACACAGTCAATAGAGTAAATCAGAGTTGGTATAACGATGCTAATTGTAGCCTATAAACTACTTGAGTACCGTGGTTACATGAGTACCTTGTGGGTTAAGATAATAGCCAGCTAATGATCTCATCAGCTCCTGAACACTACTACTACAACACTACTACTGTGACAATCGGTATTATATCGCCATGGACACATACCATCAGATATTATTTGACAGAAATTACGTTGTCATCGACGGACACTGCTGTAACAAAGGATATTCATGGAAGAAAAGACCAGCAGAGAGAGGTTAGTTAATTATTCATACAGTAGTCTGTCGAAGGGGAAGCATGCATGTGCACAGAACAGGTGTGGCGTGCTGTGATGTCACTTGACCTCCAGCAGGGACATTTTATACAGCTTGGGCCGACACTCAATAATAGCAAATATTGCGATATTTCCCGCCTTATGCGAAATCGATTTTTTTTTCTTTTCAGTTTTGCAGTTTTGCACAACCTGATGAGCCCAACCCTCATTTCACTGCTTTGTTTACTGTACATTGTACCTTGGCATTTGACAAATAAAACTATGAACTGCTGTTTACTAGTAGCATCACTTATGCCTGAAACATAAAATACAATAATATAATTATGTATTATATCGTGATATTTGGGCTGACTGTATCGAGATATTACATTTTGGATATCACCCATGTTTAATATCCAGACCTAGCTGCAGGTTTGACGTCCAACAAAAGGCTAATTGAGCACATTTGTTGCTCTTTGTACGTTACTTGGTCTTAGCCTACATGTTGTCCTGAAGTTACTCAACCTATTTTTATGTTTTCACCTCTTTGCCTCCGACAGTCTAACATGAAGAGCCTGGAGCATGAGCTGCACTGCCATGTGTGTAAGGACATAGTCAAGCAGCCCGTGGTCCTGCCATGCCAGCACAGCGTCTGCCTCATGTGTGCCTCGGAGGTCTTAGTGGCAAATGGATACCCACCTCCAGAGCTTCCCCCAGAGCCCAACTCTCCAGCCTCCACACCCAATACCCGCTCACCCCGCCAGGCACGCAGGCCTGTTCCTAAAGCTGAGCAGAGGCCCATTGACCGTGTGCTGCGATCAGGTATGAAATAACTCTTCATTTGCCATGTCAATTTAATCCATCAAACATCAATGCATTTTAGAATGATGACATGTTTTTTTGTTTGTTGTTGTTTCGAGGTCCCCATCCGCCTTCTCCATCCATGCCTCGGTCTCCGGGATATGGGACGTATCCAGGGCGACGCCGGAAGGAGGGCCCACCGCTGGTGATGATGTTCCCCTGTGTCCCCTGTGGCCGAGATGTGGAGATGGGAGAGAAGGGTCTGACTGACTGTCTGCGCAATCTCACTTTGGAGCGTATAGTGGAGAGGTAGGTACCACGAACACACACACACACACACACACACACACATAAACAATGCAAAAATATGCAAAAAAAAACTTCTCTCAGTGATATTGTCCTTCAGTGCTTATAATGTCTGAGGCTAAATGTAACTTGGGGCTGAAAAGCAGAAGCTGTGGGAAGATATCTAGTTGTGGTTGTTGCAGTTGTTGCTGTTGAGGGATTCTGCAGAGCATGCACTGCAACATACTGTAGCTACTCTGGCTGACTGTGTGTTTCCACAGTCTATTGACTTTGGGGTCACTTTATCGCCTATTCAATGCTGTTTGTCTCAGTCTCTCACACTGGATATTTTGCTGTCGCGTTGTAGAAGTTCTCACACCCTTACATTCGGCTGTTTAGAATTGTCCTCTGCTTTTGACTACTAATTATTTGCTATTTGTTTGGCAGATCCCTCTTGATAAAAAGTTATATAATCACAGCCGTATAACTGAAGACTAAAACAATATTTCTCTGATTCCCTCCGTACCATTACCAGGTACAGACACACAGTGAGTCTGGGCAGTGTGGCTGTTATGTGCCAGTTTTGTAAGCCTCCTCAGGCTCTGGAGGCCACCAAGGGCTGCGCTGACTGCAGGGCCAATTTCTGTAATGAGTGTTTCAAGCTGTATCATCCATGGGGGACGCCACGGGCACAACATGAACATATTCTACCTACACTCAACTTCAGACCAAAGGTAAGACATTGAGACACTTACTGTTCATCGACATGTGTAATATGATAAAGTTCATTTTCATATCACTTCATATCAATTAAAACAATACAAAGGCTCTCTTTTCAAAGGGTTTATAAGTTGCTAATGGATAACTAATGGCTTTATTTTAATAATAAACAAGAGACTTTGTAGTTCGGAAAAAGAAGTCTGTGAGGAAGTGTTGTTGGATAAATCGGATCTTGGAATATCCACTATTATTTATTTACAAAAGAGGCGCAAATCTAATAAGAGCAGATGGATCTGGAAGGAATACCTCCATTATTATTCTTAAAGGCTGGTGACTGGGTTGTTATGCAAATGTCTGATTGCTTTTCTTGGTGCAGTGCCACTTATCTTAAGGGGGATCAACTGTGTGTTTGCTACTCATGAGACATTTGTGGCACAGATCCTACTTTTTGATTTAGCAGTGTAAACACAAAGGTCTAATATTTTTGGATCAGATCCACATGGATTAGAACCACGGTAAAGAAAGAAGAAACATGAACAAAAGTATGTGTATATATTTGAAATAGATAAAACACCTTTACATCTGCTTCACTTCTGTGTTTTCTGAGACCGTCTGGCTGCTGTTGGATAAGATAAATACACGCGCATCCCCATAATTCTCTGCTACACTGCTCTGCTCTTTCCTCTCCCCCAGGTAAAATGTGTTTCAAATACATTTTGTTCAGATTTAATTTGACTCTCCTCTTCAGGTTCTGACTTGTCCAGAGCATGACCAGGAGAAACTGCAGTTCTACTGTAGGTCCTGTCAGCGGCTGCTCTGCCCGCTCTGCAAACTGCGCCGCATCCACACCGGACACAAAATCCTCCCAGTGGCCCAGGCATACCAAGCCCTGAAGGTATGTACTCTGAATCTGACATGATTTGAGCTAGGTTTCTCTAAATGTCCTGCGAATTGCAAGGTTTAATACACAGAATTGTTCTGAAAACTGCACTTTAATGTTGCTTCTCTATCATTTAAAATTCAATTATTGAGTTTCGATGAAGTGAAGTGATGCACTGACATCTAAAAACAGTTTTAAAAAGAAGCTTTCAGTGAATCAGAGAAAAGCAACGTACAATGTGCAGTAATACAGAACTGTTCAGTAAATGGTCTAATGTAGAGTTAATGTAAGACTGTGTGTAACAATTAAGCTGTCTGATGTGTATTCGTGGTCTATTTGACAGGAGAAGATTACAAAGGAGATGAACTACATTCTGTCCAACCAGGACACAGTTCTGGCTCAGATTACCCAGCTGGAGAGCGCCATCACTCAGACCGAGGTGATTAATACTTAGGGCTCACAAAATGTTGCTGAATGTGGATGTAACACCAAGCAGCAGCTAAATACCAACAAAATTGCCAAGGTTCCTGTCTGTTAATTTATACCGGCCTCCTTTTGTGAAGCCCGTGAACTTATGAATAGTTTGTGAAACACTATAATGTAGTTATATAAACAAATGTAAGGACATCTGAACTGTGATTAATGAAGTTGTCAACAAACAGATAATGAAAACTCATGAAGTTACATGATTCCTCCTGGAGCTTTCAACTTCATCTCATGGTCTTCATCAGCTGACTGCATTTGTTCGTTCCAGTGAAGAAGAAGTGTAAATAAGCACTAAATATTAATATAAAAATATGAAGACATACTGTACCCTCTGCAAATACACCTGTGTTATATTATATTGTCATTCATTATCTGTTTATCCAGCAGTTATTGATGCTTCACAGGAGTTATAGCCTAGTCGCTGACAAATACAGTTATTAATACACACAAAAATATTCTTATATATGCATTCAAATACATTATAGTGTGTTATAAATAATATATTTACTGCTTATATACTACTTATAGATGCTAAATATAAATATTACTGTGTTAAAATATTAACCCAACAGATGATTCTACAATGAAAACACAGAGCCAGTTTCAACCAATCAAATTTTATTGGTGATTTGGATGCTACTACTATAATTATATTATACTACTTATAGTATAATGATATTTTGTGCAACCACTTCCCATTTTCTGTGTGATCTAACATGTCTGAGCTTGTTCTCCACTCAACTGTTTTTCTTTCTTTTCCTAATATGAACAGGTTGTACTGAAATCCGTACTTACATAACGATAAAGATAGATGCTTTCCTGTTGTAGGTACAACCCTGCAAAACAAGTTCTGTCTCATGCCACAGATGAAGAAACACAGTGCACAGTAGTAATCTGTCCATTATAAAGTTCTTATTTGGAATCTGCCTCATGTGAAGGCAGACACATTTTTACCAATTAATTTAATCTTATTGATTAATCTCGGACTTCTCATAGAAAAAGCCTTATTAATCAACCGGACTTAAAGGTGATTTCAGTTAGCATCAGTTGGCTGTGAGTTGTCAGATGTTTGAACCTGTCCGTCTGTGTTATTCAACACCAGGTAAACAGTGTGTCGGCCAGAGAGCAGCTGGCTCAGAGCATCAGAGATTTGACTGCGGCGCTGGCCGAGCGCCACGCTTCCCTCACCCAGGCTCTGGAGGTGGCACGGCAGAAACGAGGCGAGGCGTTGGCTGCACAAGTGGCAGAGAGACGGGGATTGATGGAACATGCAGGGCTCATGGCGTTTACCCAGGAACTGCTGAAGGAAACCGACCAGCCCTGCTTTGTGCAGGCTTCTCGCCAGACTCATAACAGGTTTTCCATTTGTTTATCTTTGCCATCACTCTCTGTCTTGATGGAACAGGCCTTAGATTAGTTCTGTCTTTCCTTGTCAGTGTCTCTTCCTTAATTATTACAGCAAAAGATTTTACTCACACCTTATTTCTGCAGAAAACAGCTTGCAATAGGAAAAATGTTGCTCAGTATTGTTTGTAATAGCTTATAGTAATCATTAAAGTATACAGTATTTATTTAATAATAATATTTTATATGGTATTTGAGAGGGATAACTTGATTATCTCTTGGTGAGTGGATCTGTGTTAAAGAAGACATGTCACTATTTTCTCTATTTTTTCTTCTTGTTTTGTTCTAAATAGAATTTTGCCAAATCAAAAACAACCAGAACATCTGATATCTGATACATTTCTTAACTTAATTAAATAATGACCAAATGACCAAAGACAAAAAAATAAAATAAAAATAATCAAAACTGAATTAATCTTAAGTATTTCCTGTGTATCCAAATCCTGATATGGCTTATTTGTCTGTGACATAGAACAGTACCGTTGTCCAAAAACATGAGGCACACAGTCCACTGTGTCACATGTTCCTTCATCATAATGAATGTGGGCACTGTAGGTTGTTTACAGTGAATGCCACATACAGTACCCTGTCCTTTTCCTTTAAACACTCACTAGTGCACCAAATGTATATTAATCCATAGCTGAAAATAGTCCCCAAGAAATACACAATTTACTTCTGTTTGGATAACATTTGCTAAACCCTGCAGTGCCCAGCTGTCTTAGGAAGTTACTTTGTAACCTGTCTTGAATGGGCCTGAGGCTTGGCACAGGCACAGACACAGTAGGAAAAGGTGGAAAGTATTGAGAGATAAACTAATGCAATGTTGATTTTGGTCCATGGGATTTGTTGACACTAAGAAAAATATAGACCAATACCAGCCTTATCCTTTAAAAATGATCATACACCACTCCCTCCTCGTCAGTCTGTCTCGTCCTCCCATGCAGCTTGATGGAAGCATCATTTAAACACCCATCCTCCTTTATCCCTCTAACCCTGCTTCCCTTGTTTTTTTTTTCACCGCACCAGGTTGAGTAAAGCAATTGAGAATCTCCAGCATTTCACTCTGGCTGCTGATCCATCCTTCAGACACTTCCAGCTGGACGTCTCCAAAGAACTCAAACTCCTGACAGAATTGAACTTCATCCAGGGTGAGAAAGGGAGTGGGGAGAGGAAGGGAGAGGACGGGGATGGGTGTGGATGGAGATAGTGGAAGGGTACAAGATAAGGAAGGGAGGGAGTGAACAGGCAGACAAGGAGAGAATGACAGGGGCTCTTTCTCATATCACTTAGTGTAATAAAGCTGAGATGCCATCAAATATAGTAAGTGAATGTGAGCCAGCGATAGAAAGATGGTACGACTATGACGTGTTAAACCTCTACAATTGAGCTTTTTACTCATGGAAACTTCATATTCAAACATTTTATCACAGCCCCCTTCGCTCCAGTGATTGACACCCAGCGTACCCTGGCCTATGACCAGCTCTTTCTGTGCTGGCGACTGCCCCAAGACTCCGCACCCGCCTGGCACTTCTCTGTCGAGTATCGCCGTCGGGGTGTGGTACCGGGAGGAGCGTCCCGAGGCGGGCTCAGAGGAGGACTGGCCGCCGCCCGCTGGGGCTGGCAGCGATTGGATGAAGTGAGTGGGACCAGCGCCGTGATTGACAGGTTGGAGATGGACAGCGTGTACGTGCTGCGGGTGAGAGGCTGCAACAAGGCAGGCTACGGGGAGTACAGTGAGGAGGTGTACCTGCACACCCCACCTGCGCCAGGTGAGAGCACGCACTGAACTTTTAACTCATCCTCATTAACAAGTAAACGCAGAGACTTTGACTTTGGCACAGGGAAGCTGCACCCAAACAACAGAAGTGTATAGAAACAGGTCAAACTCTGCCCCAGTTTGGCAGTACCCCAGTTAACAAGGTGTGAAGTGTACTTTTAGACATCTCATACATGCAATACATGAAACATCAAAGGGAACCTGTTATGCTTTTCTTTATTTTCTGTAATATACATAATTTAAATTGCTGGATGTACATATTACATGTGGCCAAAGTTTCAAATAATGAGGTAAACACATATAATAGTAATCCCCCTGACACAACAGCTCAAGTATCAAACTGCTCTGGACTGTTGTAACAAGCTGACGTCGGCTCGCCACGGATTTCTACAGACGGTCATCCGCTCCGAGCACAGCTCCAGGTACAGGGTTTATTCCAAGCCAAAATCCTGTCAAACTTCGGTCCTCTTGGTAAATGTACATACACACTCTCCTAAAACAGTCTACTTGAATAGTATTAGAGGCAATTCGTGAACTCCAGTATACAAATAACCAACGGTGCAGGTTTACTATACAGTTGTTTGAGGAACAACTATTAACAGGCGTGTATATAGAAAAATATGTATACACAAATTGTGATTTTAAGACTAAATCCACTGTTATGTCACACAATAAGCAGGTGATGGGTGTAATATTTACTGAACACAGACGTCCTGCTGTAGTCTTTGTTGCTGCGGCTGTCCGCTCTTCTATTCTGGGATGGATTCAGGCTCAAGACATGTACAGATGGATTTGAGAAGTGGCCATTTCCAATAAATTATGCTCTGGTTCTTAGTAGTTTTACAGTTTGATTTCAGAACCTCCACATTGGTAAAAGGATGAAGCGGAGCTCACAAGCACAAGGTGCTGCAGCTCGGCAGGCTACCAGAGGGCTTTTAGGGAGGGGGGCCTTAAAGGGCCTGGAGCTAACAATGCCTGTTTCAGTTAAGGGCTCATCTGAGGGGCTACAAGACAGGCTGCATGAGATAAATAACATTTTTTGAACTGTGAATCATGCAAACCTACTGTAGCGGAGTCCTAGAATAAAAATGTATAGATGGAAATTAACATAAAATTTCCACTTTAATTTGCAAAGGAGAGACAAAATAAGAAAGAGTGGAAAGATTCTTACACAGATTTTGTACAATGAATTGATGGAAATGTGATCCAAAACAGTTCACATTCGAGTTTGAAAACATTGGCAGTGAGCAAGGGGTAACATTGTAGGATTTGGTGGCGCTGTAACTAAGTCAGAGAGTAGATGAAAAGGCAGTTGGAAGGGTGCAGTACAATGGGAAATCTGAGACATCTCTTTGTTGTCTAAGTGGATTCAGTCCATCTCCTGTCCACAAAAGGCACTTACCCCTAAATTACTCCCCAGCATCTGCTGAATGAATGTTGTATATGGAACATTAGTATGCACATGAATAAGCCATTGCGTCACGGTTTGTAAAGCAGGAGCATTCAGGTCTTCTGACAATTCTCAGTTCTATCTTCGATTTCTATAAGTTCAGTCTGTTACTGATTCGAACTGTTTCCTTCTGTTCTGTATGAAATCAAGTCTCGGTGGCTTTTGCTGTTTTTCAGTATGCTGTTAACCAGGAAGTAACATGCTGAGCCAATAAGGAAGACTCTGAGTCACCAGTGTCGGGAGCTATACTGCAAAAAGCCAATGATTCAGTCACTGATGATTTGGCACAATCGGTCCCGGCTGACGAGATGGTGCTCCCCACTGCATTGCAAGTGTGTGAAATGATGTTAATGATCTGGCCATCACAGTCTCCTGAGATCAGTCCCAATTAACACTTATGGGGTGTACTAGAATGCATCGTTGATGATAAGGAACATCTACCCATCAGATTTTCAAAAGCGTTGTCGGGTGCTAGGTCGGCTTAAACCCTGGGATGCTACAGTCTCTCCGCTGAGTTACAGCTGCAGATGATGTCGGGGCCGAAGGTCGTCCATCTCAGCACTGAAGGGATTCTTCTCTTTGTGTGGTCAATGAGTGTACATCAACAGCTCCTCGACTTATTTTAAAGGATAATTCAGTTTTTTTGGGGGGGGGTGTTCTTGTTCATTGTCTCAGCCATTGCGTTTGCAGTTATGATTTATTGATTAATTGATCAACAAATCGATCAAAATTCAGCAGTAACTATTTTGATAATTGATTTGATTAATCGATTGCAATATCAAAACTTACAAATAGCTCCTTTAAAGTCAATATGTGAACTGTCACGGATGATTACAGTGGACAGCTTGAGGAATCTTTTTTGCTTTCTCCTTAAAAAAAAGTTCAGCTAACCTGGGCAATTATATAATACTTTTATTTGATTGCATCTGTTTCTTACCTCCAATTACTTACCTCCCTTCTTTCCAGCAAAGTCGATGTATCCCCAGATCTCTGCATAAAACTTGGTGATTTCAATTCTATTGTTACTATGAGGAAATGTCCAAAATTAAAAAATATCCTTTAACCCATTGGCGCTAAAAACAAGAATGTCAGAAGGTTCATCCATCACTTTCATAAAGTGTAATTTTTATACATAAAGTGTCTTTTTATATCTTCCACCCAACTATGAGTCTTTCTACTATTTTTGGTTAACGACGTATAGCCACTTAAATCAGTGACAAGTGTATGACAGCTACAACAAAATCTCATTATATCCATACAGCAAGCTGTAGTTGATGTCATCTTGGAGCCATTCATCTCTTCACGCCAACTATTATTTATCAGTCACAATAAAAGCATCAGGATGGTTACCATGGTGAAACACTTAATAATTCATTCTCTTTCTTTTCTACCTATTCCCATCTCCTTTTTCCATTTTTTACCCACCATTCTCCACTTTCAGCACATCCTCATTTTCTTCCTCTTTGTTTTCTCATCTTTCTCTCATATATCATTTCCATTTCACAGCTTTGTACTTGTCATCCTCTTCTGCGCTACTTCCACGCTGCCAGTCTACGTGCCGCCTCCGGAACGTAAGAAGTGCATTCATATCTCTTCTTGGCCACACCTCCGTTCCCCATGCAGCATAATTATCTCCTCTTCTCCTCTCTCTCTTTGTGGTCATCCCATGCATCCTCTGTTCTTCCACCCCCCCCCCCCATCTAGACACCCACTCACCGTCTGGCTCTCACTCTACCTCCTTAAACGAGATCTGTCCGAGCGCTGATGATGAGGTTTGCAGTTTGTTAAGACCTGAGGCTTAACAACGTGGATCGGATTCAGATCCAGGGCTTTTTAATGGTGGAGTTGAGTGACTGGTGAATTCCTTGTGTCCCTGTACTGGAGGCTGTTGTTTTCCTTCCTGCTGTTGCGTATGTTTCCCCTGTAAGATGTATTTGAAAGATCTGCACTCCCCACAGCCAGAACGTCTTTGCGACACCTTTTGTATTTTACTCCCTGAGTCATCAATGTATGGATCAGTGTCCTTTTCTCTTCCAGTGCTGTTGGGAGGAGGTGCATGCCTGCTCTCTGTTCCCCTCCCTTTAGTCTCTTAATTGTTTATTATTCTCCTAATTTCTCTTCTCCTTGCTGCTTTCTGATTGTAAATCTGTACCACTCCCCCTCCGTTGCTTCCCAAACTTCTTCTGTTGCTTCTTAACCCCCTTATATGTCATTTCTGAATGCACCTGTCTTCTTTGTCTTCTCTTTACCCTCGTGTTTTCTTCCCTCCCTTCTCTTTCTGTTTTCCGTCCCTGCCCCTTTCTCTGCTGTGTCCCTCCCAGTGCTCAACTTCTACCTGGACTCTCGCTGGGGTCTCCATGCCGACCGGCTGGTGGTCAGTAAAGAGCAGCGCTGTGCTCGTAGCGTCCCTGGTCTCTCTCTGCTGCAGGCCGCTGACCACGCCCTCACTTCCTGTCACCTGACCTCGGACCTCCTGGTCGGGGATGTAGCTATTACACAGGGACGTCACTACTGGGCATGCTCAGTGGAGCCTGGGTCTTACTTAGTGAAGGCAAGTAAAGTCAAGTAGTAAATATATTATACGTACAGAATACTACATGTATTTAGTCCATACTGCTCAGTTTATTGGAATCATGATCAGACTGTAACATTAAAGCACAAGTGACATTAAAGCTCGGTTTCAAAGATTTTCTTTATTACATTAAACATTAATAAGTAACAAAGGTTTGAACAAAAGTTCCTTTTCTATTATTTACCAAGTTTAACACAAAAATGCTAACTTGTTTCATAATGACTGTGTGGGTGTGGTTTGATCAGATTTATAAATCTGTGTCTTGACCTGTTTTCAACAGAGCCCTCTGCCCCACTTCAAACCAGTGAGAAGAGCTTAGTGAAAAACACAAAGTACAGAAATCTCTTTTTGTGTTCATGTAGGGTCCAAATCGTTAATAGTAAGAAGCTGATTGAAAAATGTATTTTTAGGGCCTTTAACTGATCAACATTCTGATCAGCACTGTTACGAAACTTAAATATTTTGGTTCAAAAAACAGATTTTTAGATTTAAAGTTCAGGGTCACATTGTGATGCTGCAGCGAGAAAGCTGGGGCCTGCTATTCCTAAGATCTAGAACGAATCCTGTCCTCAAATATGTCTGATATTTGTCACGAGACAAGTGTGAAGTACCTGAATTTGCCCAGTAATGCCTGTGCTGCTGAGAGTTTTATGCACTGCTGTTTTTAATTTAAGTGGGTAATGACAAGGAAATAAGGATCAAATAAAGTTTTGGTTTCTTTTAAGGTGGTTTTAGCTCTCTTTCCCTCTCTGGCTCTCTTTTAAAACTAAATTCCCATCCAGTTTCAGCTATGCAGCAAATGGACACATGGTTCTTTGTTAACTTTGGGAAAAGTAGATAGATAGATCATGCCTGAGCCAAAACATGTGTGATTTGTAGAGGTAACAATGTTTAAAGTATGTATGACAGTTAGCGGGAAAAGAAGCACAACACAGAGTGAGAAGCTTTGGCCCCCACAAACCTCCCATGACTGCGTGGTTTCAATGGAAATGACAAGTTTACAAAGAATAATGAGAGGATTTTGCGAGTGTCTTATGTTTGTCTATATTGTATACATATGTGCATTCTAGGACTACATATACTAATGCTTTAATTTGTATTGTATCTAATATGATCAGATTAACTCAGTGATTACAGATGTGTGGTTTAAAATGAGTTATTTTTCATGAAATAGTACAGGAAATAATCACCTGAGAAAGGCCTATCGTCTCTTAAAAATGCTTTTGTTTCTGCGTCACTTCACATAATTGTAGCTGGGGAAAAGAGAGCATTGGATCAATCAGTTGCCACAAGACAAATGCTTTGGTAATTACAAATTGTTTGCTTTTTTCTCTTTTGAACAGGTTGGCGTTGGTCTGGAATCTAAACTGCAGGAGTGGTTTCACCTTCCACAAGACATGGCCAGTCCACGGTGAGTAGCTGTAATACAATCTTTCCCATTCAGTTCTAATCACTGCTTCTGTAGTACATGGAAAGATTTTGGAGAATCTTGGCTAAATTGAAAAAGAAAAATGAAATTATAACCTGGTATAAAATAAAAACATAAATAGGATTCTAAATTGATTTGAATTTGATTTGACTGAGCTTTAGTATATTTATTCACAATAACCAAAAACCAATAACCCACCAACTGTGACAGTAGCACTGAGTCATTTGTAACACACGTGCGGCAATTGAGGGTGCATGGGAAATAGTTAAAAAGTGAGCGAAAGAAGTCAAAATAGGAGAATACACGTAATGGATAAATGTTTGAAACAACCCGCTTCTGCCGCGCCACGTTGTACAGAAGTAGTGCGAATGCAAACCTGACCAAACCTACTGAGGCATCAGTAACGTAAATGATGAATTCTTTTGTAGAAGCTGTCAATCTCATCCTGATTTTATAAAATGCGCTTCGTTTGCAGCTACGACCCAGACAGCGGTCATGACAGTGGAGCAGAAGATGCCTTGGACTCTGCTCCGCCTTTCTGCTTCCTCACTATGGGAATGGGTAAAATCTACCTGCCCCAGCACAGCAACCACCACCACAGTAGCCATGGGAACCGAGACCCCATCGCCAACAGCAACGGCCCCTCCTCGCCCACAGGCGTCACCTACCCGCTGCCGCCCCGGCTCGGTGTGTGCCTTGACTTTGAGAAGGGCCGTGTCACTTTCTACGATGCCCACTCTCTGCGACCTATGTGGGAGGGTCATGTAGATTGCTCTGGCCCCGTGTGTCCGGCCTTCTGCTTCATTGGTGGAGGGGCCCTGCAGCTCCAGGAGCTGGTAGCCAATCGGAACGCGGATCAGACTCCGGTCAGAAGGGTAACCATCCAACCCCGTGTCTCCAATTTAAATAACAATTGATGCCTGATCTGAGGTTATATGGTAATTTGGAATGTAATTGGTAATTGTGAAGTATTTACTCAGCTAGAGCAAAAAGTTAGACATCTCAGCGATTTTGTTTTTGTATTTAATTTTCTTTGTATGAGAAAATGTTTCTATAGCAACAAATATGCAATGTAATTAAGTTTCTTACATTTTTGTTATATGCAGTTTTGCAAGAAGTATTGCTTAAGTGGTGTCTGGTATATCCAGCACTTAATATGTAATTATACCTTTGATGCTTGCACTTGTAGCCAGGCTATATTGCATACATTTATAAAACTAATGTAGATACAGCACCACACAATGCTGTCTTTCCTGTAGAAGCTTTTACTCATTTCATGCCCATAATACTTAAAGCTTAACATATATTTTGATTTAGAAATATGATCATTATGTGAGTAAAAAAAGGTCGCAAATATTTTATTGCTCTGTAACTTGTGTTTAACCACACAGTTGAGGGCATTTCTTTGCCGTTGGTGAAAACTTTCCAGTCCTTCACCCATTATGATCCCAACCAAAGTTATTGTTTTTCTGGGATGTAAATGTGGTAAATTAGAGGTAGAGAGGAACAATGAGGCAATACTGTAATTAGAAGCTCCAATTATACCTCTGCTGCACAGCTAATCACTAGTTTCCACAGTTCTGTTTATGCATTGCTGTTTTGTATTTCAGATACGAGTCTGATGTCTGTGTGTTTGTGTGTGCTTGTGTGTGTGCTTGTGTGTGTGCGTGTGTGTGCGCTTTTGTGTGTTTACTTCACTATGTGCATGGGTGCGTGTGCGGTTTGACTGATAACAGCGTTGATTCATTGGCTGACGATGAAAAGTTGTTTTCTCGCAAACAGTTCTTTTGATTTTTTTTTTTTTAACCTTGCTTGATTGTAAGTTAATGAGCAGCGCTTCTTGTGCAACGATTAGCAGATTAAATCCATGTAAACTTCACCTGCTGGCAGATTGTTTGCAAAAGAAAAATGGATTACAGAAATAAACACTGAATAAATACAAATTGTTTAAATTACGACAACACCTTATGTTTCCCTTTGTTGTTGTTTCTGTTTAGTTAGAATTCAATCTGCTTCATGTGGATTTCTAACCATTCCCACTTCACCGTGAGGGTGAATCATCACTGTTGTTTCACCACAAGGGGGCAGCAAGACATAGCAGAACAGCAGAGGCATCTCCAACCTCTTTTTAACACACTGCAGCTATTGTAATGATTTTATTTGGAAAGATGAATAATGGCACCTATTTTCCATAAAAAAAAAACAAAAACAAAGTTTGTTAGAGGAAATTGGCAAACATAGATTTTGAAATGTGCTGTTAAAATTGGAAACTGGAAACAATGCCATCTGTTTCCAGATTTCTTTGCTTTAATGGATTTTTCATGCAGTGTATATCACCTTCCTTTTTTGTTATTATACTTACATTAACTACAGTTTCTGACTTTGTTTACATTAAGCTAAGCTAATTTAATAAAAAAAAAAAAAAAAAAAAAAAAAATTCTTAAATATATAATCATGTATACATTGCGACACTGTGATTGGCCACTGACAGTCATGAGAAGAAATCGCTGTTTAACAGCACACAAACCTTTACACATGCTGGCTGATCTGGACAACCATCATAAAACGCAACAAGACGATTCATGCCAAGTTTTTGAACTCAATACAGAATAGCATTCACTGCCAAATGGTCTCTTATACAGTATATATACAGTATATGTATATGGATTTATGTGTATGAGGGGCTGAGTAGAAATTACCTGTAAATCAAACTTTATTGTTTACACACATGCAATAAAAAGCTCACATAATAACAGACATAAAATTTGTGTCCTTTTGTCCGACATGGCCTCTCATATACTCGATATGGGTTTAGTTTTGTGAAGTGCTGAGGATGCAGCCTATTGGCTAATTGCAATTTAAAATAGAACACAGACACAGCAGACCATTCAAATACCTCTAAACATGGATCCAAATGATGACATTTTTGGCATTTCCTGAGAGGAAATTATTTCACATGGAGCAACAATCATGCCCAGCTCTGGGATTCCTGCTCAATGAAACACCTTGGGTGAGAGTAATGAATAGTGATGACCATCTGCTTTTGATAGAGATATTAACACCTCACATGTGTAGGTACTTAGCATTCCTTATGTAAATGTAATGTAAATCGCTGGAGTTTACCTTTTATGAGCTTCAGTATGAAAATCCACATATGTGTTTAATTGGACCCACATTCAAGGGGAAACTGTAGAGGAATTTGGGTTTGCCTCAACCACAGAGGGAAAATAAAAATGTAGAAAAAAAAAAGAGAATCAAGAAAAAAAATAAATAAAGTGCACAGCCTTGACACAAGCCAAGGTTCTTTTTTAACGTCCTAATACACACAGATAAAAATACTGCCTCCAAAGGGAGGTTTAGCTCTGATCCCCCATGATATAGAAGAAGTGGAATGTACTGTAAAGCATGAATACAGCACTGCACGGCCCTCCACCCACCCCCTTGTGCTTGCTGCACCTCTCTTCTTTAGTCCAAATCTGTAACAGATTGGGTTTAGTCTGACTGGAGGTATGCAGCCACAACACCACATGTAGGGGTCTGCATAATCCCTCCACTGAGTATTAAGTGCACAGCATGGGCATTCTTTTAAAGACCTGGCAGGAATTACCAATACATAATCTCCATGATCATCATTTAGTATAGTTCAGAGAGAGAGGATTGAGGGAGGGAATCATCTGAACTTATGAAGGATCTCAGAGCCATATACAATCTGTGAGAGGCAGCGTGCGGTGCCATCTGGAGAACACATAGGACAGAGTCTGTTGGAATACGTTAACCCGACTGTCTTAAACAACATGAAGCTAAATCACATGTCCAAAAGACTTATTTTGTTTGTTAAACATACTATGTGGCCTCTATAGTGGAATACATTGTTTATGGGGAACCTGCTTAATACTGTTTTGCTGAGACAAAACTATTATCGCAGATCTCTGTGGTGGAGGCCTGCAGTAGGAATTAAGTTGCTTGTGCTGTAAGCTCCATGTCTGACAGCTGCTACCTACACTTCATGGCTGTGGATTTTTTTTATTTCATTGAGGAAATAGATTAATTATTAATCTTCATATGCACAAACCTCTAGAGTGCAATCACAAGAGGTGACAAGTCTAATTTCACTGATAATCCACTCCCTCTCCATATGTAACGGACGGGACTGAATCACATTCACATCAGTCATTTCTTTTACTCAGTTTGCGGTGCCTTTAAATTCAATAACATTGCATTGATATTATTCTTCCAGACGTGGCCACTGCTGAAACAATTATCTTTCTCTTTCTCATCCATCCATCCACCCATGAGACTGAATAGCATTAATAATATACAACTTCCTGCTTTTATCACATTGATAATCTGAATCGAGGTAGAAGGGGAAAAAAATCAATCAGCTAAATGTTGGCTAAGAGGATTTGAGGGGCATAGCGGGGCCATCTTCCCTCACTATAATAAATGAGGGGTGACAGTAATGCTAGACAGAGCCCATATGGCCACATACTGTAACCTAGTGCACTTCAGTTGTGAGAGAAGACACAGGGCTAATTCAGTTTAACAATAACACTCTAGAGGCATATCCTACTCTACTGGATTTGTAAGCTGCGCTTTGTTTTTCTCTGTTAAATGATGCAGTGAGTATTATGCATTGATTGGGTAGTTTATTGTATAAGTCAAATTGCATACAGTTCACTATTAGACAAATTGAGTGTCCTGTGACATCAAACACTGGTTTGACATTTTGGAAAATATTTGCTTTGCCATTAAAGACCACTCTCCAATTAAAATCAAGTTTTTAACCTTGTTAACATGTCCATATGATGTTTTTTATATAATACAAGACGTTCCATGAGTGAAATAAGCAGTAGATACCATGACTGGGTCATACATCACAAACCTAAGGAACCAGTCCTGTCAACTTGCGGGGACGGGGCGCGGATAAAAAACCTGAAACCTTGTCAGTAGAGAGAGCAAGAGTTAGCATTAGCACAACCACTAACACCGTGTCAGCCGCTGCCAGTTACAAGCTAACAAACTGTATAAACAAATAAAAGATACTAACTACACTAACCGTACTGATGTTTCTGCTAGTTGCTGATTGTGGTCACAACAGACTCACCATCTGAGTCTGAGTCTAACTGAGGCTCAAACCTGTGGCTGAGTCTCTCTAACGTTTCTTCTAACACCAGTCGCTGAAACCTTGTCAATACAGAGACTGAGAATTTGCATTAGCACAACCAATAACACTCTCAGTCACTGGCAGTTACAAGCTAACAAACAACATAAACAAATAACTACGCGTAACGTTCTGATATGAGTCTGATGTTCTTTCCACTAATCATATTAGCATTGGCATAAAGACTTTAGAGTGGGGGAAATAATTAGCCTACCAGCACAAAATCTGTACAAAAAACAAAGTGTAAAGATGTTTTATTGTTGTTTTATTGTATGTTTTATTGGAGGCTGTGTGCTGATTATTTTCTGACTGTTCCAGTTTTAATGTTAAGCTAACTGGCTATTGGCAGTCGCTTCATACTGAGCAGGTATGGGAGGGGTATTTTGGCAAGAAGGCAAATAAGCATATTTTCATAAATGTCAAAATACTGCTTTAAAGCAGCCTTGATTAATATTTTTTTATAATGTACAATGTATCAAACAGCAATGTGAGAACAATGAAGTAATTATTGTTATTAATTATCACATGAATCTGCAGCACCCCTCTGCTTTTTGGAGCTTTATAGCGTGTTACAGTTTATAGTTCCTGCCGCAGCAGGCAGCTGCTGTCAGTGAAAAAGCTCTAAAAGCCCATTATACACAACCTGCTCAGCACTTCATGGCAGACAGACAAAGTTAGAGAATAGCTGGTGAAGCCAGATATTTCTATCATGAGTTGGTAGAGAATAAAAGCAGAGCTAAAAGAGGGCAAATACTATCCTTACATTTGCCTAGTAGCCATAAACACGACTCCAATTGAATGATGATGTTGCTCTTGTAACTGGTGGATGTGTAAGCAACTGTTGGCTGGCAATTTCAACATATTAACATGAAAGATGATGATATGTCAATGTTGTGTTCAAAACTGCTCCCAAGTGACCAAGAAATTAGTTATTGCAGGTTTAACTGCAGACTGAAACTAAGAATGTGGATATCCCCTCCTATAGAAATGATTTCATTCTGAACCCAGAGGAATGGTTCACTGGTTTAAAGCATTAAAATCCTGTCCTGTCCTGGAGCAAGTGTGATAAGTGGACCAAGCTAGATTACATAGCTTTTTGGCTCTTATGGATAACTTTAAGGCTGGCGTAACTTCAGATATACTGTATGTTTTTACACTCTGCCTGTAACTCAACAACTAGGATATTATTGTTTCCATAAAACCGAGGTGTGGAATAACGTTTCAGCGAGACTAATGATAGAAAATTCTGTGTAAGAAATGGTGTGCGCAGGTGTGGGACCGTTGCATGTGTGGTTAGAAACCATGATTTTTGATTGAGCTTCATGCAGTATATGACATATCCATTCAGTCAGTCAGGATGTAGCATATCGTGAGTGGTTTTCCACCATGGTCAAACATGCTGAGTCGGACCTCATTCATCCTTGCACAGTTAAAATTCCAGGTCTCTGAAAAGTGAAAGGCAAGTCAAATCAGAATGTCAACAGGGGATCTGTAAACCACACGTTTTCTAGACGGCTCTGTCAAGACCAGCTGTGCATACATCATAGCCTGAATGATCTGTGTGTACAGTTAGAGAAGGAAATAAAAGACAGAGAGAGTGAAGGACAGACATAAAGAAGGAAACAGAGAGAGAGAGACAGACGTGTAACAGCATAGACCAACAGATGCACACAGAACATGAAGTGGGGGAAGGGGAGTTGGTATTTGATCTGTGACAAGAGAAAAACAGTCTAAACATCTCTCTGAAGTCTGACGACTCCGTGGTCCTATCTGTTACCGTGTCAATACTTCCCAACGGCCCACCCTGGCCTCCTTGTCTGTCCCTCCTCACCTTCCAGATGCTCACCCAGTGAAGGGGTGAAAGGTTGGCAGGTGCCTGGGGGAGCAGCAAGGAGCCTCAGGGTCAGATTTCTGAGAGGTCAAGCAGCCGCAGTCTTAGGGTGGAACGAGTGAGGAGGGGGCACAATATGGCTTGTGTCCAGAGCAGGAGAGAGACGGGTCCACAGAGCAGTA